GTACTTAATTGTCCACTTATTGAGGAATACAGAGACAGACTGTATAATAACCTATGTGACATGTCAAGATATCTTATTAATGAAAATAAGATACCAGATATACTAAGCAAATTTCCTAAATTTGCTTGTAACAGATAAGTGAACTATAGATATGTAGATATAAATCCATATGTATTCCTGTTAACCCTTTGGGGCCTAGTTCCTAGGCCTTTTGTGTATCCATATGCTCTCGCGCTACCGTCCACAGGATGGACATGGGGTGCACAATAAACTAGCCACTTCGGTGGCAAAATCTAAAATCTCCCTGCGGTGTGCCTAAAGACATTTCTTTAGACTCACTTCTAAAGCCTTGGTAAAGGACAGAGGATACTCTATTTGACTGGTATCCTATTATCCAGCAGAGTAAGTTACCACCAATATTCATTTTGGCTAGTTCATGTAGTATAACGGTTCTGTTCACAATATCAAATGCAGATTTTGGATCAAGAAAAGTGGTAAAACTAGTAGAGGTGTGTGTGCAGTGAGAAAGGTGGAAATACAGTTCTGCACACTTTTACCTTTCATGAACCCATAGAGGTAGGGGGAAAGTTGATCTCTGATTCTGTAGTACAGTCTGTTAAGTATCATTCTTTCAAAAGTTTTACAAAGACAACTAGTTAAGGAGATCGGTCTAAATGTATCAGGCTGTTGGGGCTTAGGGATAGGCACAATGAGACTATTGGTCCAGGAAGTAGGAAGAACGCCCTCAATGTAACTGAGATTATACAGTGCCAACAAAGGGTTATCAGGCACTTGCCTTAAAGTTCTGAGAATATCATAGGTTATACCATCCTCTCCAGGAGCAGTTGATCGACCTTTAGTTAATGCATTATCTAATTCATACTCGGTGAAGAGGCAATCACTCTCATCAATATTTTGGCTCATAAAACTAATCAGTTTCAACATTTCTTCAGAAGTACTCTCTAAATTTTTTCTAATATGAGATGGAAGGGTTTCATGCCTGGATGTTTTGGACCAGTCATTTATGAGGTCATTTGCTTTTTCAAGAGGAAAGGGATGAACAACATTGCCAGTCTTTTTCCTGGTTATTTTATTTATACCTTTCCAAGGCAAACTTAAAAGGGTAGACCTATTTAATCCACTAACAAATTATTCCCATTCCTGTTGCCTAAGTTTTTGCTTGCTATTCCTTGCATTTGTTAGTGCAGCTTGGAAGGTTCTGAGCAGGTCTGGGGTTCTACATTCACAGTATGCTTTACCAATCCTCCTAGATTATTATTATAATAAAAAAGAAGCGCTAAACCACAAGGGCTATACAGTAATCCCCCTAGAGAGAGAGAGAGAGAGAGAGAGAGAGAGAGAGAGAGAGAGGGTTCACTAGACACAAGTTTCAGTCACCCACAAAACTCCACAACAACAACATCAGTCTCTGGACACGGAAGGTTACGACACATTTCTGAGATTTTTTTTTTTTTATTTTGTGATGGATCGTTGTATATATTGTGATGATTTTGTCCTTCTTGGGGGTTTAGTGATGCCTGTCGAGGTCTCATGGTAGCAGAGAATAATAATTATAAGTGATCACCTCAAAGAATAATAGCAATAACTATACTAATAATATGATGTATTTTTATTATTATTTTAATTAACGCTTAGATTATCATTATATTATTTGAATCATGACACTGACTTGTCCACTTCATTGGATCAAACTTGAGTGCCTATTTGTTCTCTAGGCATTGTATGACCCCTACAGGTTTAACACTTTCCACAAATATAATATTTATAGTAATGTAATGATAATAATAATTGTAATAATAACAGACTTTATGATAAAACTATTGACTTGTAAATCTGACCACGATGAAATTTAGACCTTAAGCAAAATGTAAAATTAAAAAATCTATAAATTAATGAGAATATACTGCAATAAAATTATAGTGTTCACTCAATGTATTTTATGTATAATAAATTAGTAATTTATACAGTATTTTATCATAATATCAGTTACAGGTACAACACCGATTTACCGATAATGTATCATCTGGCCTCTTTTTAGTCTGGACAAAATTACATAAGAACATAAGAACGAAGGAACACTGCAGAAGGCCTACTGGCCCATGCGAGGCAGGTCCAAGTCTCCTACCGGCTTAAGCCAATGCACCCAACCTAGTCAGGTCAGGTCACATTGACTTAAGGGAGGAACACGGCAACCGACCTGGTAGCACAAGCTATCAGGTCTAACTCACACCCACCCACATCCACTCATGTATTTATCCAACCTATTTTTAAAGCTACACAACGTTCTGGCCTCAAAAACGGTACTTGGGAGTTTGTTCCACTCATCCACAACTCCTATTCCAAACCAGATACTTTCCTATATCCTTCCTGAATCTGAATTTTTCCAACTTAAAAAACCCTTGCTGCGATCCTGGGCTAGGCTAGATATTTTCAGCACTATTTACATCCCCTTTATTTATTCCTGTCTTCCATTTATACACCTCAATCATATCCCCCTAATTCTACGTCTTTCTAGAGAGTGCAGATTCAGGGCCCTTAGTCTATCCTCATAGGGAAGGTTTCTGATACATGGGATCAACTTTGTCCCTCCTCCTTTGTACATTTTCCAGAGAATTTATATCCATTCTGTAATAAGGTGACCAAAAAATGTGCAGCATAATCTAAATGAGGCCTAACCAAGGATGTATAGAGTTGAAGAACAACCTGAGGGGCTCCTATTATTTATGCTTCTTGATATGAAGCCAAGGATTCTATTAGCTTTATTGCGAACACTTATGCACTGTTGTCTTGGTTTCAGATTATGCTAACCAGAACTCCTAAATCTTTTTCGCAATCCGTAATATTAAGATCTACATTATTTAGTTTATATGTGGCATGATTATTGTCCTGTCCAACATTTAGAACTTTGCATTTGTCTATATTAAACTGCATCTGCCACTTCTCCGACCACTGATCAGTCTATTCAAATCTTCCTGGAGTGCTCCGAATGTCCTCGTTAGAATGAATTCGACGGCCTATTTTGGTGTCATCGGCAAACTTGCCGATGTCGCTCTTTATGCCCTCATCTATGTCGTTTTGTAGATTGTGAACAGCAGGGGGCCCAACACTGACCCCTGTGGAACACCGCTCGTGTCTTCCCCACTCTGATTCTCCCCATTTATGAAACTCTCTGCTGCCTATTTGTTCAACCATGCCTCTATCCAGGAAAAAATTTCCTCCTATTCCATGTGCTTTTTAATTTTCCTCAATGTCTCTGATGTGGGACCCTGTCAAAAGCCTTACTGAAGTCCATAAAACACAAAAATCATATTCATTACCATGATCTACCCCCTCAAATACCTTAGTGAAAAAAGTTAATAAATTCGTAAGGCAGGAACGCCCCTTTGTAAAACCATGCTGAGATTCGTTGATTAATTTATGCTTTTCAGGTGGCTACGAACTGCCTCGGCAATTATTGATTCCATAAATTTTTCCACTATGGAGGTTAGGCTTATTGGTCTATAGTTCGAAGCTAAGGACCTGTCACCTGTTTTGAAAATAGGTATCACATTTGCCATTTTCCACTTATCTGGCACCATGCCAGTTTGTAGTGATATGTTGAAAAGATTAGCCAAAGGTGTGCTAAGCTCCTCTTTACATTCCTTTAGAACCCTTGCATACAGTTCATCAGGGCCTGGGGATTTGTTAGGTTTTAATTTATCTATTTGCCTAAGGACCATGTCACTTGTGACCCAAATAGTACACAGTTTATTATCGTTTTTGCCAGAATGTCTTACTGGGCAGCCACAAATATTATTGTTTGTAGTGCATATGAACTTATATTGTCAACACCGCAGTTGTGATGGTGATCCCTTTATTCTATGCAATTTGTAGCATATTTTGCCAACAGTTAACCCCAGTTATGGCTAGGGTTAATAACTATAACAATAATAATAATGATAATAATAATAATAATAATAACAACAGTCCCCAGCCAGGTGGAAACATTGGGCATGTCTCCGTACACCTACTGTCACTGTTCACCTAGCAGTAGGTACCTGGGTGTTAGTGGACTGGTGTGGGTCGTATCCTGGAGAAGAGGATTGAAGAACCACAATGGAAATATAACAGACAGTCCTTGATGTTGCTCTAAGTTTCTTGGGTTATCCTGGGTGACTAGTCCTCCAGGGTTAAAAATCCAAACAAAATCTTATCTCTTATCTTACCAGGTGTATTAACAAAGAGCTAGAACAATATTCCTTTGTGATAGAAGAAGATCTAATGAATTTATATTTAATACATGAAAATTTCCATAGGGAAAGATAAGAGCACGTGAAACAACTTTGCTCAGATGAAATATTTAAAAAGATGACCAAGAAGACTGTTGTAGCAGTGGGCATGCATTCATCTGAAAATCCTGTGACTTCAACTTCAAGCACCCTAGATATCCTCCTTGTAGCATCATATATCCAATATGAAACAGACAGAAATCCTGTCTGTATGACTCTTGTGGGTTTATCACTTAGTTTTGATTGTAATAATAATTGACAGAAATCCTGATAACCCTTAACTCCCAGACCTTGGTGATTAGCTCTGTTGTTCATATAAAATTATTACATTTATGATTTTGAGAGTGCTAATAGTACAATATTCTTTGTAAGTGCAGTAATAAATAAATTTGCTTCACTTATTCTAATATTTAATTTATGTTTCCAGCAGACATGGTGGGTCAGAGATGTATTGTTGAATTATTATTATATGACCTCTGTTGGCCCGGCAAGATCAATATACCAGCAAAGCCCCGAAGTCTCAGAGGAGACACAACGTTTCCTTGCAAAGTCAACTGTAGTCAACAAATTCATGTTGATAAACAAATGACTCTGAAGGAGGGGTGTTAATGTTGCAGTTTAAAAACTGTAGTGTAAAGCACGCTTCTGGCAAGACAGTGATGGAGTGAATGATGGTGTTTCTTTTTTGGGCCACCCTGCCTTGGTGGGAATCGGCCAGTGTGATAATAAAAAATAAATAATAAACAAATGACACCACAGCACCCTGTATTCTGCTATAATTCGTCTTGAGAAGAAATACAACCTGAAGATACCACTATCCCTAAATCTGAAAGGGGTTTATTATCACTCCCCAAAACACAAGAGTCCTATGAGGTACTACAGGTGAACAAACTCGGATCACTTGTCCTAACAGAACTAAAATCCATAATATGGGTAACAAAATGCATACTAATGTGCTATCCACTAGACGCCTCTCAATGCAATCAATCCACAGTAAGAAAAACATCCTGAAAGCTGAGCCAGAAAATCTTTGTTGTATGTGTACTGTATTTTATATGTAATGCATGTGTAAAATTCAAAGACTAGTAATGTAATGAAGATACAGAAGAGTGAAATCTTGGTACTTTTTATTCAATGTATTTCATGTATAGTATACTATTAAATTGTTTTTTATATTTTATCCTAATTTCATATATTTTCAGAATAGGAGTGACGTGAAGCCATCATTGGCTGTCCACTTGAAGATTTCAGTAAACAGCTGCATATCCAGTTACTGATTGGTGTTACAACATTATTAATGTCCCAAAAATGTTTATGAAACGAAATATTTTGGTTGTGTTTCAACCAGTGGGATTTCTCAGCAGGACCTGTGTTCAATATACGTTTGTTCCAAAACACACACCCTGCCAGGACTGGGCACTAAATCAGATGCAAGAGTTTATTGATAGTACTAGCAAGCTGTTTGTGCTTACTGGGGCAGGTATTTCAACCGAGAGCGGCATTCCAGACTACCGTTCAGAAGGTGTGGGTTTATACGCTACTAGTACCAGAAGGCCGGTGCAGTATGTGGTGAGATCTCACCTATTTTATATTCTTATTCTATTAAAGCTACAAAACAGAATATGTTTTATCAAATTAGAGTTAAATCTCAGAACTCTATATATATAAAGTTACTTATTGTTCACTCAGAATTCATAATACATGTATGTAATTTTAATGATAAGAATATTGTATTTATGGGTATACACATTGTTCATATGAAGTGTAATTAAACCTGCTTCTCCTCAGCTAACACACTTTATACATATTTTTTGTTACTCTCTTTAATGTGTTTGTTTAATTCATTATTGATGAAGGAAACCAACATTGTATTTCTTGATTCTAAATTGGGCATTTTTTTTTTCAGCACTTCATGAGATCAAGCAAAGCTCGGCAGAGCTACTGGGCCAGAAATTACATAGGCTGGCCATGCTTTTCATCTTTTAAACCAAATATCTCACACCTGACCCTGGCAGAGTGGGAAAGAAGAGGAAAGGTTCACTGCATAGTAACCCAAAATGTTGATAATTTACATCAAAAGGCTGGAAGTCGCAGGGTCCACGAACTTCATGGTACAGTAAAGCACTGTGTGCATTTGCCTCTTGTTTAGCATAATATTTCTTCAAAGGAGGCTTCTTGATGCCATCGAGAGGGCTCTTGAAACAAGGAATAGGAATCTGCCCTTCCTTCTCTGGATCAAGCCTGAATGCCTCGCATTTACCCAGGCATTGTATGACTCCTACGGTTTAGTGCTCCCCTACGAATGTAATAATAACTTAGCATTGTGTATTGTTAAATCTTTGAGGGTCAGTCTTGTTGCTCTATACTATGAGCTCAACTCGCTCAGATAAGCTGTGAGCAGTAAATTTGGGCCTGGATATGAGAGAATGGGTCTATGCAGTAAGTGTGCACCATATAAAAAAAATTCTTACGGCAAGCAGTGCATAATGGGAAAAAAAACTGCTGCAGTGTTTTTGGTTTAAAATAGTGATTTTGTTGTGTATTTTCTTTTGGTTTTGATGGGTGTATTCTTGAATTCTTAGTCTCATATGATAGAATGCAAGATATATTACAGAAATAGAGATGATCTTATTAGTTTCAGGACTGAAAGTGGCTTCAAACTGAACTGATAGCAGAAATGTTAGATTTTTGCCGATATTCCTGAGTACACAAATTATGTCACTCATCCAACATATGTCCAGCTAGCTAGTCTAATACATGTACACAAATGTGCTGACATTATGTATACAATTACAGTGGACCCCAGGTTATCATAATCCGTTCCAGAGTGACTAAACCCAAATGTGACGATTTCCGAATTCATTTTGCGTAAAAAATAATGTAAATCCAATTAATCCATTCCAGACACTCAAAAGTATTAACAAAAATTATTTATAGATTAAATATAGTTTTACATACAGAAAAGAATGAGAAATCGAGTATAAAACAATATCACACTTACCTTTATTGAAGACTCTTGTTGGTGTATGGAAGATGGGAGGAGAGGAGAGGGTTAGGGTGATGTTCCTCCACAAATGTTTGCACCTCACTCCACTTTGCACAAATGTCCTTAAACTTTGAAGAAGGCACCTTCCCTCTCCCTTTCTCCTCCTCTGAAGAAATTTCCTCAGCTGGTGTACATAAGAACATAAGAAAGCAGGAACACTGCAGCAGGCCTGTTGGCCCATACTAGGCAGATCCTTCACAAACCATCCCACTAACAGAATCGTATTTGCCCAACCCAATTTTCAACGCTTCCCAAGCAATAAGCTTTGATAATTCTATTCACTCATGCCCAAGTCCCACTTAGATCAAATCATGTGTGTTGGGAAGTACCCTGGCTGGTGTGTAGGTAAGTGCCCTTGCTGGTGTGTGTGGGGAAGTACCCTGGCTGGTATACATAAGAAAGTAGGAACACTGCAGCAGACCTGTTGGCCCATACTAGGCAGGTTCTTCACAAACCATCCCACTAACAGAATCGCATTTGCCCAACCCAATTTTCAATGCTTCCCAAGCAATAAGCTTTAATAATTCTATTCACTCATGGCCAAGTCCCACTCATATCAAATCGTGTGTGTGGGGAAGTACCCTGTCTGGTGTGTGGGGAAGTACCCTGGCTTGTGTGTGTGGGGAAGTGCCCTGACTGGTGTGTGTGTGGGGAAGCACCCTGGCTGGTGTGTTCTTTCTTGAATTCTATCATGTTTATTGCCTTCTTTACCAAAGGGCTTGCACTAGGAGCTTTTGGCCCATGGTGACTTATTTAGCAGTTGCAAGCACTAAAATGAATGGAATATTACAAAATCTATCGTATGAATGTGTGGGATCGTGCTCACTGGCTGATAAACAATGACACACTGACTGTAAATGGTGTGTCGGGCCGCTCAAACGCGTTCAGGATGAATGACTATTACCGAGTTAAATGACAATCACCGAGCCAATATTTTGATGAAAAAAAAGTTGCCATTTCCGAATATTATGAAATCCGACGACTACGAAATCCAGGGGTCCACTGTATTACAATAATGCAGTAGTCTGCAAAACAGTAAATCTTTTATTTTTTGCATGAATAAAAATTCAAAATGGAAAGCAAGCATAATATAGGAGAATCCTGAGAATGTGACGAGTGAACAGAGAAAACGTTGTTTTAGTGCCATGTGATCCTACAGCTCACATGTGAGAGACTCGTGACATCACAGCTAGAAGGGACATACATTGTTTACTCTGGACCTCGTATTTTGAAATTAGCAGCTTTTTAATTTTGCGTGAAAGCCAAATTACCGATTTCTGATCCCTTTATTGGGCAGCTGAATTTGATAAATGGGTGGTTTCTTGTACTCAGTCGATAGAATGGAAGGAATACTAGTAAAATAGCTGTTAGTTTGGTCAACTGGAACAATGGAATTGCCAAATAGGACTCAGAGTGAGCGAAATCGCCGATGTGTAATTATTTCCGAGACCGCTAAATTTGCGAGAGTGTAATTCCTTAAGTTTTCCGTCAAATTACCTCCGGAAAAAGATTCTCTGTCATTTCATAAGACAAGGTTTCATGTCGGGTTCTGACCCCTCGAAGGGTTAAGGGTTACAAATAATAAACCTGGCTTATTGAAAATCGTAATACATTGGTATCACTGTTAAATAACACAACAAGTAAGAGTTATGATACAAGAAATCAGAACGTGTTTCTGCTCATAAGCTCTTCTGTATATATATTCCCTCTGCTCTACATCTTATTGGCTTATACTAAATCAACTCTGGGTTAAAAATCTGAATAAATCTTATCCTAAGTATGGGTATATAATGATAAGATGATGGTAAAGGGATACTGTACATGGGTAGTTATATGGAAGCCTTATTGATGACATTTCACCCACACATTGAGCTACATTAAGACACAGTCAGATGTAGCCTAATAAAGAAAACTGGGGGGAAGGGGTGAAACATCATCTATAAAGGTTCCATTTACAATTTCTGTACAGTAAACAATAATAGAAATCACTAATTCAATTCAATTCAAATTCAAAGTTTATTCTCTATAAGGATTACAATGCTGAGTTTACAGAAATTTGGTTATTGTTTGGTTTACATGTAGTAAAATTGTGATTACAGAGTGTACCACTAGAACGCTTAGCATGACTAGGCATTTCGGGCATACTTAGTTTTATTCTTAATTGTAAAATATTACAAATTATGAGGTAAGTTGGTCTTATGGCTAAGTGACTAAATACTAGTTTATGAGTTTAGCAATGTGAATGCTTTTGTTTTGGCACAGTATATAGTTTCAGTATTGGAGTATCACAGGATTAATTATTTTAAGACTGAGATTAATAGCTTACATAATATGCAAATGCTTTCATAAATCACACTGAATATAAAATTTTCCCAACAGGTACAGCATTCAGTGTGATATGCACAACCTGCAGCCAGACGGTAACCCGTCACAGCTTCCAAACTAGATTAAGAGAAGATAACCAACACATGTCAGCCCACTCTCTGGAAATACGACCTGATGGAGATGTTGAACTCACTGAGGTGACCCTGTTATTTGGTTTTAACTCTATACAAGTATTTCAGTAATTTTTGATGCTTTTGAAAAAAATGAGGAGGATGTTAGCTACAGTGCAAACATATTGGGCTATCAGATTGTTTAATTTTTTAATAATAAAGGAGTAGCCACTAATTCCAATACTAAAATGTGATACAGGAGGGACCTGTTTGTACAGCTCTGAAGTTCCCAACCCTGTACAGTAAGCAGGTGGAAAAGGGCTGTTTTTCATTATGAAATGTATCTAAGTCACCTGATAATGTTTTTACACTATCATATATTATGACTTAGGATAGGATGGATAGGGGAGCAGTGTGGCAGATGTTGCAGGTGTATAGAATAGGTAGTAAGTTAATAAATGCTGTAAAGAGCTCTTATGAGGATAGTGAGGCTCAGGTTAGGGTGTGTAGGAGAGTGGGAGATTACTTTCCCGTAAAAGTAGGCCTTAGAAAGGGATGCATAATGTCCCCATGGTTGTTTAACATATTTATAGAGTGGTAAAAGAAGTAAATGCTAGGGTGATGGGGAGAGAGGTGGATTAAATTTTGTGGATTCAAATACAAAATGGGAGTTGACACAGTTACTTTTTGCTGATGATACTGTGCTTTTGGGAGGTTTGAAAGAGAAGTTGCAAAGGTTAGTGGACGAGTTTTGGAGGGCGTGTAGAGGAAGAAAGTTGAAAGTGAACATAGATAAGAGTAAGGTGATGAGGGTATCAAACAGTTTAGATAAAGAAATACTGATATCACATTGGAGGGAGGGAGTATAAAAGAAGTGAATGTTTTCATATACACCTACCATCCAACTTACGACCGAGTTCGGTCCCGAGAAACCGGTCGTAAGTCGAAATGGTCGTAAGTCGAACTTTACTACTGAATATCAACAAAACATTTTTGTAATGACTTTATTTTATTGTTTTATTTTGGTATTTCATGTTTTACTTTACTTTTTATGCTGTAAGTACTGTATTTTATACTGTAAGGTTTAGGATAAACACTGTACAACACAAATAGTTGTTTATTTCCCAGAAATTTGGCATAAAAAACACGGTTGTAAGTCGAGTGGTTGTAAGTCGAGCAGGTCGTAAGTCGGATGGTAGGTGTATTTGGGAATTGACTTGTCAGTGGATAGGTTTATGAAGGATGAGGTTAACCATAGAATTGATGAAGGAAAAAAGGTGAGTGGTGCATTGAGGTATATGTGGAGACAAAAAAACTTTATTTATGGAGGCAAAGAAGGGAATGTATGAAAGTATAGTGGTACCAACACTCTTATATGGGTGTGAAGCTTGGGTTGTAAATGCTGCAGCAAGGAGGTGGTTGGAGGTGATGGAGATGTCCTGTCTAAGGGCAATGTGTGGTGTAAATATTACACAAAGAATTCGGATTGTGGAAATTAGGAGGAGGTGTGGAGTTACTAAAAGTATTAGTCAGAGGGCTGAAGAGGGGTTGAGGTGGTTTGGTCATTTAAAGAGAATGGATCAAAGTAGAATGGCTTGGAGAGTGGATAAATCTTTAAGGGTAGGGTAGGGGTCATCCTAGAAAAGGTTGGAGGGAGGGGGTAAAGGAGGTTTTGTGGGTCAGGGGCTTGCATTTCCAGCAAGCATGTGTGAGCGTGTTAGATAGGAGTGAATGGAAACGAATGGGTTTTGGAACCTGACAAGCTGTTGGAGTGTGAGCAGGGTAATATTTAGTGAAGGGATTCAGGGAAACGGTATTTTTATATAGCCAAATTTGAGGACTGGAAATGGGAAGTACAATGCCTGCACTTTAAAGGAGGGGTTTGGGATATTGGCAGTTTGGAGGGATATGTTGTGTATCTTTATACGTATATGCTTCTAAGCTGTTGTGTTCTGGGCACCACTGCAAAACAATGATTATGTATGAGTGAGGTGAAAATGTTGAATGATGATGAAAGTATTTTCTTTTTGGAGATTTTCTTTCTTTTTGGGTCACCCTGCCTCAGTGGGAGACGGCCGGTTTGTTGAAAAAAAAAAAATATATATATACATAAGCTGCGGCCCGTGACACACCAGCACTATGCCATTCAGAGAAAACTCCTCCTGCTTTAGTTGCTCCCTTGCAACATTGCATAGCTCCTGATGATGCACTGAGAAGTATGAAAGTACTTGAGCTAAAGATTTCCACCCCCCATTCCTTGTCTTGCATATACAGTGGTACCTTTACTTACGAGTTTATTTCGTTCCATGACTGAGCTCGTAACTCAATTTGCTCACATATCAAATCAATTTTCCTCATTGAAATTAATTGAAACGCCATTAATCTGTTCCAGCGGAATTCTTGGCTCTCAGGAGGCAGGAGAAAATACTTCAGTATAACGCTAATATCAACTCTACGGCTTATTTATCTATCACAGTTGATCTATTGTGACATAATAAACAATATAAATAACATAGAAACATGATATATACTTTAGAATGAATAAAATATGTCATTATGTGACGAGTGGTGGTTGCCACTCCCGAGGTAAAAAATAATTATCACTCTGACCATATCTTCCCATTCTTGCCCTTCTGAGGTTTTATTATAAGAGATAATAGAGTGTGTGTGAGGCTAACTGAACTAGTTCACTAGTTTTGTAAGGAAAACACTGAAACAAAAGCAATTTTCTCGTGTTTTTCTATGATTTCATGCTTTAATTCAATGAACATCATCCTCTTCTTCTCAGCACTGTCCTTTACACTTACTTAGGACCCATGGTTACAAAAAAGAAATTTGGGAAAAATAACTGCACGAAAACTGGGATGCTGGGTTGATGTTGTGGCATTCGCTGCGCTAACTAGTGCCGGGATATCTGAAGCTTGCTCATTACTCGAATTTTGGCTCGCAACTCAAAGCAAGAAATCGACTGAGCGATAGCATGTAAGTCAGAAAACTCATATCGTTGGGGCACTTCTAAGTCAAGGTACCACTGTATATATATAAATATACATGTCTAGGTAGTAGGTTGGTAGACAGCAACCGCCCAGGGAGGTACTACCATCCTGCCATGTGAGTGTAAAACGAAAGCCTGTAATTGTTTTACATGATGGTAGGATTGCTGATGTCTCTTGTCTGTCTCATAAATATGCAAGATTACAGGTACTTGCTACTTCTACTTACACTTAGGTCACACTACACATACGTGTACAAGCATATATATATACACACCCCTCTGGGTTTTCTGCTATTTTCTTTCCAGTTCTTCTTCTTGTTTATTTCCTCTTATCTCCATGGGGAAGTGGAACAGAATTCTTCCTCCGTAAGCTATGCATGTTGTAAGAGGCAGCTAAAATGCCGGGAGCAAGGGGCTGGTAACCCCTTCTCCTGTATATATTACTAAATGAAATATATAATTTTTTTTTTTTTCAACAAGTCGGCCGTCTCCCACCGAGGCAGGGTGACCCAAAAAAAGAAAGAAAATCCCCAAAAAGAAAATACTTTCATCATCATTCAACACTTTCACCACACTCACACATTATCACTGCTTTTGCAGAGGTGCTCAGAATACAACAGTTTAGAAGCATATACGTATAAAAATACACAACATATCCCTCCAAACTGCCAATATCCCAAACCCCTCCTTTAAAGTGCAGGCATTGTACTTCCCATTTCCAGGACTCAAGTTCGACTATATGAAAATAACTGGTTTCCCTGAATTTTTTTTTTTTTTTTTTTTTCAACAAGTCGGCCGTCTCCCACCGAGGCAGGGCGACCCAAAAAAAGAAAGAAAATCCCCAAAAAGAAAATACTTCCATCATCATTCAACACCTTCACCACACTCACACACTATCACTGCTCTTGCAGAGGTGCCCAGAACACAACAGTTCAGAAGCACATACGTACAAAGATACACAACACATCCCTCCAAACCGCCAACATCCCAAACCCCTCCCCTAAAGTGCAGGCATTGTACTTCCCATTTCCAGGACTCAAGTCCGACTATATGAAAATAACCGGTTTCCCTGAATCCCTTCACTAAATATTACCCTGCTCACACTCCAACAGATCGTCAGGTCCCAAGTATCATTCGTCTCCATTCACTCCTATCTAACACGCTCATGCACGCTTGCTGGAAGTCCAAGCCCCTCGCCCACAAAACCTCCTTTACCCCCTCTTTCCAACCCTTTCGAGGACGACCCCTACCCCTCTTTCCTTCCCCTATAGATTTATATGCTTTCCATGTCATTCTACTTTGATCCATTCTCTCTAAATGACCAAACCCCTCAACAACCCCTCTTCTGCCCTCTGACTAATGCTTTTATTAACTCCACACCTTCTCCTAATTTCCACACTCCGAATTTTCTGCATAATATTTACACCACACGTTGCCTTAAACAGGACATCTCCACTGCTCCAACCGTCTCCTCGCTGCTGCATTTACCCCCCAAGCTTCACATCCATATAAGAGTGTTGGAAACTACTATACTTTCATACATTCCCTTCTTTGCCTCCATAGATAACGTTTTTTGACTCCACATATACCTCAACACACCACTCACCTTTTTTCCCTCATCAATTCTATGATTAACCTCATCCTTCATAAATCCATCCGCCGACACGTCAACTCCCAAGTATCTGAAAAACATTCACTTCTTCCATACTCCTCCCCAATTTGATATCCAATTTTTCTTTATCTAAATCATTTGATACCCTCATCACCTTACTCTTTTCTATGTTCACTTTCAACTTTCTACCTTTACACACATTTTCAAACTCATCCACTAACCTTTGCATTTTTCTTTAGAATCTCCCATAAGCACAGTATCATCAGCAAAAAGTAACTGTGTCAATTCCCATTTTGAATTTGATTCCCATAATTTAATCCCACCCCTCTCTCGAACACCCTAGCATTTACTTCTTTTACAACCCCATCTATAAATATTTTAAACAACCATGGTGACATTACACATCCTGTCTAAGACCTACTTTTACCGGGAAGTATTCTCCCTCTCTTCTACACACCCTAACCTGAGCCTCACTATCCTCATAAAAGCTCTTTACAGCATTTAGTAACTTACCACCTATTCCATATACTTGCAACATCTGCCACATTGCTCCTCTATCCACTCTATCATATGCCTTTTCTAAATCCATAAATGCAATAAAAACTTCCCTACCTTTATCTAAATACTGTTCACACATATGCTTCAATGTAAACACTTGATTTACACATCCCCTACCCACTCTGAAGCCTCCTGCTCATCCGCAATCCTACATTCTGTCTTACCCCTAATTCTTTCAATTATAACCTACCGTATACTTTTCCTGGTATACTCAGTAAACTTATTCCTCTATAATTTTACAATCTCTTTTGTCCCCTTTCCCTTTATATAAAGGGACTATACATGCTCTCTGCCAATCCTAGGTACCTTCCCTCTTTCATACATTTATTAAACAAAAGTACCCAAACCCCTCCAACACTATATCCCCCCTGCTTTTAACATTTCTGTCATGATCCCATCAGTTCCAGCAGCTTTACCCCCTTTCATTCTACGTAATGCCTCACGTACCTCCACCACACTTACATTCTGCTCTTCTTCACTCCTAAAAGATGGTATACCTCCCTGGCCAGTGCATGAAATTACCGCCTCCCTTTCTTCCTCAACATTTAAAAATTCCTCAAAATATTCTCGCCATCTACCTAATACCTCCCTCTCCCCATCTACTAACTCCCCTACTCTGTTTTTAACTGACAAATCCATACTTTCCCTAGGCTTTCTTAACTTGTTTAACTCACTCCAAAAATTTTTCTTATTTTCATTAAAATTTCTTGACAGTGCCTCTAAATGAAATATAAATGAAATGTATATGACCCAAAAGGAGAAACTTTCGTTTCTCCTTTTGGGCCACCCCGCCTCGGTGGGATACGGCCGGTGTGTTGAAAGAAAGAAGAAATATACATGTATATCTAGGTAGTAGGTTGGTAGACAGCAACCACCCAGGGCGGTACTACTGTCCTGCCAAGTGAGTGTAAAACGAAAGCCTGTAATTGTTTTACATGATGGTAGGATTGCTGGTGTCCTTTTTTCCTGTCTTGTGAACATGCAAGATTTCAGGTACGTCTTGCTACTTCTACTTACACTTAGGTCACACTACACATACATGTACAAGCATATATATACACACACCTCTGGGTTTTCTTCTATTTTCTTTCTAGTTCTTATTCTTGTTTATTTCCTCTTATCTCCATGGGGAAGTGGAACAGAATTCTTCCTCCGTAAGCCATGCGTGTTGTAAGAGGTGACTAAAATGCCGGGAGCAAGGGGCTAGTAACCCCTTCTCCTGTATAGATTACTAAATTTAAAAAGAGAAACCTTTGTTTTTCTTTTTGGGCCATCCTGCCTCGGTGGGATGCGGCCGGTTTGTTGAAAAAAAAAAATGTACGTATATATATATATATTATAGGTAGTAGGTTGGTAGACAGCAGCCACCCAGGGAGGTACTACCGTCCTCCTAGGTGAGTATAAAACGGAAGCCTGTAATTGTTTTACATGATGGTAGGATTGCTGGTGTCTTTTGTCTGTTTCATAAATATGCAAGATTACAGGTACATCTTGCTACTTCTACTTACACTTAGGTCACACTACACATACATGTATACAAGCATATATATACACACCCCTCTGGGTTTTCTTCTATTTTCTTTCTAGTGCTTGTTCTTGTTTATTTCCTCTTATCTCCATGGGAAAGTGGAACAGAATTCTTCCTCCATAAGCCATGTGTATTGTAAGTGGTGACTAAAATGCCAGGAGCAAGGGGCTAGTAACCCCTTCTCCTGTACAAATTACTAAATTTAAAAAGAAAAACTTTTGTTTTTCTTTTTGGGCCACCCTGCCTTGGTGGGATATGGCCAGTTTGTTGGAAAAAAAAAATGTGGGATAGCAAGTGTATCTTGCTACTGCTACTTACACTTAGGTCACACTACACATGCATGTTCTTGTTCTTTATTTCCTCTCATCTCCATGGGGAAGTGGAAAAGAATTCTTCCTCCATAAGGCATGCATGTCATAAGAGGCAACTATAATGTCAGGAGCAAGGAACAAGTAACTCCTTCTCTTGTATGAATTACTAAATTTAAAAAGAAAACTTTCATTTTTCTTTTTAGGCCACTCTGCTTCAGTGGGATACAGCAGGTTTGTTGAAAAAAATGTATATATATATCACTGCTGCGATTTCACCATACTCAGCTGCTTCACCCCTGCTCCTAACCTGGGTCACTCCTGGTCCTATGCTGGGTTATTCCTGGTCCTATGCTGGGTTATTCCTGGTCCTAGCCTGGATCACCCCAGGGTGACAAGTCACCCCAGTTGAAAAGCACTGCTGTATACAGTAAGCTCAGTGACATATAACAATAAAGTGCTCCTTCTCACTTGCTGTAGTGAACTGGGGTTTCAGAATTCCTTGTAGTGCACAGTACAGTGTATCATAAATGATACCTACCATTCACAGACTTTTCATTGTCACAAAATTTTGAGTCCCTCTTCCTTCTCAGACTGTTTATGAACTCAAACATCACTGTCTAATATAACAAAAATAATAGCTTAAAAAAAAGTGTTTAAGTGATCAAATTTTAGGGTATTAGTTTTATTTCACCTCGTGACATTCTTTAACTGGTCATACACAGTATGGCTTTATTGTCCCTCCAGTCTCCAAGCTGCTATTCAAATAGTTGAAAATGGCAGGCCCATAGCACCAGGTTCTTGTCTAACACTTGTTATTTTTTGTATATAATTCTCTCATGCTCAGTTTAGTATGCCAGAACCCTTGCAAATGTTAACTCCCTGCATCTTGCAACTTTCTCCTCTGGTACAGTTCTGGTATTTTCATTGGCTGATCACTGTTCACTTGGTCTTTAACTCAATTACTCACTAACAGACAAGCAAACAAACTTTATTTCTTTCTACAAAATGTAGTTTACATGTAATAAAATACTATTTAGCACAAAAGGAAGCCACTAGCACATGGTGCCAAGAACTGACAATAGACATCATACTTTATAACACTGTCATCCCACTTATAATGATTCATGCATTAATTAAGTAATAAGTTGTAATATAGACTGGAACTTTACAGGAAGAAGTAAATAACTTTAAAGTGCCATCATGTGAGCAGTGTGGAGGAATTCTGAAGCCCGATATTGTCTTCTTCGGAGATAATGTCCCGATTAGTCGTGTCAACAAAGTTCGGCAAGAATTGGCTAGCTGTGATGGTCTGTTAATACTGGGATCTTCATTGTTTGTTTACTCTGGCTACAGGTTTGTGATTTAGTGTAATACAGCATATATATTTTTTCTTACCACATCAGCCATCTCCCACTCAGGAGCAGATTCAGGAATTGTCCAGGATGGGGACCATCCTTGCCTGTACTGAGGGGATATGGGGTGATAGCCTCCTAGAGGTTTTATTTTTATGAATTTGTAGGTTTTAAATGTCAAGAAATATTCATTTTTATACTAGTAGTAACAATTTACGTATTGAATTATAACACTGCTAATCAAAAGGAGAGTTAGCTGAGAGTTAACTGGAAGGAGGGGGTTTACCTGGAGTTTACCTGGAGAGGGTTTCAGGGGTCAATGCCTCCACAGCTTGGTCTGAAACCAGGCCTCATGGTGGATCAGGGTCTGATCAACCAGGCTGTTACTGCTGGCTGCACACAAACTGACATGCAAGTGGCTTGGATATACAGCAGGCATGTGTGAGCATGTTAGATAGAAGTGAATGGAGATGAATTGGTTTTGGGACTTGACAAGCTGTTGAGCGTGAGCAGGGTAATATTTAGTGAAGGAATTCAGGGAAACCAGTTAGCCGGACTTCAGTCCTGGAGGTGGGAAGTACAATGCCTGTACTTTAAAGAGGGGTTTGGGATATTGGCTGTTTGGAGTGACATCTGTACTGTTGTATCTGGGTGCCTCTGCAAAGACAGTAATTATGTGTGAATGATGGTGAAAGTGTTGAATGGTGATGAAAGTGTTTCTTTTTTGGGTCACCCTGCCTGGGTGGGAGACGGCCAACGTGTTAAAAAAAAAAAACTACATTTCTTCTTTTTCGGGTCACCTGGCCTCAGTGGGAGATGACCTTTGTGTTGAAAATTTTTTTTTATATACAATATATGTACATATCCTAGGTAGTAGGTTGGTAAACAGCAACCACCCAGGGAGGTACTACCGTCCTGCCAAGTGAGTATACAATGAAAACTTGTAATTGTTTTACATGATGGTAGGATTGCTGGTGTCTTTTGTCTGTCTCATAAACATGCAAGATTACAGGTAAGTCTTGCTACTTCTACTTACACTTAGGTCACACTACACATACATGTAAAAGCATATATGTTAGGTAAGACACATATGCAACAGTTAGGTATCTTTATTTCGAAACGTTTCGCCTACACAGTAGGCTTCTTCAGTCAAGTACAGAAAAGTTGATAGAAGCAGAAGATACTTGAAGACGATGTAATCAGTCCATCACCCTTAAAGTTTTGAGGTGGTCAGTCCCTCAGTCTGGAGAAGAGCATTGTTCCGTTGTCTGAAACAATATGAAGTTGAAGTGACAGGATGGAGCTTTATATAGTGCCAGGAGGTGAGACGTAGGTTGCTTTGGGAGGGCAGGTCCCTCTCAAACTCAGCCGTGCTCACTACTAGAGGTTGTCGAAGTTGATGGTCTGTACCAAGATACCCTTGTGTTGCAGTGTCTGACAGAATGAACATTAAAATGGTATAAAATACCGACAGATTGTTAGGTAAGACACATATGCAACAGTTAGGTATCTTTATGTGTCTTACCTAACAATCTGTCAGTATTTTATACCATTTTAATGTTCATTCTGTCAGACACTGCAACACAAGGGTATCTTGGTACAGACCATCAACTTCGACAACCTCTACTAGTGAGCACGGCTGAGTTTGAGAGGGACCTGCCCTCCCAAAGCAACCTACGTCTCACCTCCTGGCACTATATAAAGCTCCATCCTGTCACTTCAACTTCATATTGTTTCAGACAACGGAACAATGCTCTTCTCCAGACTGAGGGACTGACCACCTCAAAACTTTAAGGGTGATGGACTGATTACATCGTCTTCAAGTATCTTCTGCTTCTATCAACTTTTCTGTACTCGACTGAAGAAGCCTACTGTGTAGGCGAAACGTTTCGAAATAAAGATACCTAACTGTTGCATATGTGTCTTACCTAACAATCTGTCGGTATTTTATACCATTTTAATGTTCAAAAGCATATATACACACACCCCTCTGGGTTTTCTTCTATTTTCTTTCTAGTTTTTGTTCTTGTTTATTTCCTCTTATCTCCATGGGGAAGTAGAACAGAATTCTTCCTCCGTAAGCCATGCGTGTCGTAAGAGGCGACTAAAATGCCGGGAGCAAGGGGCTAGTAACCCCTTCTCCTGTATATATTACTAAATGTAAAAGGAGAAACTTTTGTTTTTCCTTTTGGGCCACCCTGCCTTGGTGGGATACGGCCGGTGTGTTAAAAAAAAAAAATAAAGTATAACCTGCTTGCCTCATGCTGCTTGTTTCTTCCTCAGTTCTCACTGTTTATGTCTATGTGACCCACATTTTCAAGCTGTAATTTTCTCAATACAGTATACAGATTTTTAATGGTTTAATCTTAACATGCTTTAATCATCTTCTAGTATCCCTTCCTTATATTTACTCTTATCTTTGTGCCCACTTTTGCTTCTTTTAGATATGTCTCAACCATTTTCCTGCAATATTTGGTTGAGAATTTTTAAACTCTTTTCTTGCACTATTTTGTCATAAAATTTAAACTATAGTTAAATATTTTCTCACATTATTTGATGGAAAAGTTGAACTATATTCTCTTTTTTTTTTGTTATGATTTTTTAGTTCTGTGTTAATACTAGATGATCTGTTAAACCCTCACTTACTTCCTTCACTGATGAATCACTTAAGCATTTTTTCTTGCTGAAAGTAAATTAAACCATTTGTTCTTATGTCTTGTGTATGTCTATGTTCTTTCTTCTTTCAACAAACCGGCCTTATCCCACCGAAGCAGAGTGGCCCAAAAAGAAAAATGGAAGTTTCTCTTTTTAAGTTTAGTAATGTATACAGGAGAAGGGGTTACTAGCCCCTTGCTCCTGATGTCTATGTTATACAGTGGAACCTTGGTTTTCATGATTAATTTGTTGCAGAAAGTCTGACGAAAACCGAATTGTATGAAAACTGAAGCAGTATTTCCCATAAGAAATAATGTAAATCCAATTAATCCGTTTCAGACACCCAAAATATATTAGCAAAAAATACATTTTATAGAGAATAACTATAGTTTTATGTACAGAAAACAATGAGAAATAAATATAAAGGACTAATAAAATGGATAAATGAACATATCACATCACTTTTACAGTGGTCCCTCAATAATCGTCCGGCCTGAAAGTCGTCCATTTCGGAAATAGTCCTGTTTTTTCGTCAAAATATTGGCTCGCAAATGGTCCGGTAACTCGCTAATAGTCTTTCGTCCCGGACGCGTACTCACGCTCTGAGCCGCCTCGGCCTTTCCTTCCCAGCCAGTGTGCCATTGTTTACCAGTGAGCGACGGTCCCCTCACGTGCTCCAGTGAAATATTTCATAATATTCCATTTATTTTAGTGCTTGCAAGTTATTTAAGTGCTAAATAAGCTACCATGGCTCCAAAGAAAGCTCCTAGTGCCAAGCCTTTGGTAAAGAAGGTGAGAAATACGATTGAATATAAGAAAAACATCATTGAACAGTATGATAGTGGCGTACGTGTGGGCGAACTGGCGAGGATGTATAACAAATCCCGTACAACCATATCTTCCATCATGGCCAAGAAAAAGGAAATCAAGGATGCTGTTGTTGCAAAGGGGGTAAATATGCTGACAAAAATGAGATCACCAGTACTCGAAGATGTTGAGAAGTTATTATTGGTGTGGATAAATGAGAAACAATTAGCAGGAGATAGTCTTATGACGTTGCTTATTTGTGAAAAGGCTAGGCAATTGCATGACGATTTGGTAAAGAAATTGCCTGCAACTAGTGGTGATGTGAGTGAATTTAAGTCCAGCAAAGGCTGGTTTGAGAGATTTAAGAAGCGTACTGGCATACACAGTGTGGTAAGGCATGGTGAGGCTGCCAGTTCAGACCACAAGGTGGTTGAAAAATATGTGCATGAATTCAAGGAGTACATAAACAGTGAAGGACTGAAACCTGAACAAGTGTTCAATTGTGATGAAACAGGCCTCTTTTGGAAGAAAATGCCAAAGAGGACCTACATTACTGGCATTAAGAAACAGAGAAGAGAAGTAACCCCAGAAAAGCAATTGGTACCCGAGGTGTTGATGGAAGGGAATTCCCCTTCCAAAGAGTAAATCATCCAATCTGTCTCCTTCTCCAGTCTTCCATACACAAAGAAGAATTGCCAATAAAGGTAAGTGTTATTCTGTTAATGTTTAATTCATCATGTGCCACTGTATTGTTTATGTACTACATCTATATTTCCTAGGGATTGGCAGAGAGCATGCATAGTTCCTTTGTATAAAGGCAAAGGGGATAAAAGAGAGTGCAAAAATTATAGGGGGATAAGTCTGTTGAGTGTACCTGGTAAAGTGTATGGTAGAGTTATAATTGAAAGAATTAAGAGTAAGACGGAGAATAGGATAGCAGATGAACAAGGAGGCTTTAGGAAAGGTAGGGGGTGTGTGGACCAGGTGTTTACAGTGAAACATATAAGTGAACAGTATTTAGAAAAGGCTAAAGAGGTCTTTGTGGCATTTATGGATTTGGAAAAGGCGTATGACAGGGTGGATAGGGGGGCAATGTGGCAGATGTTGCAAGTGTATGGTGTAGGAGGTAGGTTACTGAAAGCAGTGAAGAGTTTTTACGAGGATAGTGAGGCTCAAGTTAGAGTATGTAGAAAAGAGGGAAATTTTTTCCCAGTAAAAGTAGGCCTTAGACAAGGATGTGTGATGTCACCGTGGTTGTTTAATATATTTATAGATGGGGTTGTAAGAGAAGTAAATGCGAGGGTCTTGGCAAGAGGCGTGGAGTTAAAAGATAAAGAATCACACACAGGGTGGGAGTTGTCACAGCTGCTCTTTGCTGATGACACTGTGCTCTTGGGAGATTCTGAAGAGAAGCTGCAGAGATTGGTGGATGAATTTGGTAGGGTGTGCAAAAGAAGAAAATTAAAGGTGAATACAGGAAAGAGTAAGGTTATGAGGATAACAAAAAGATTAGGTGATGAAAGATTGAATATCAGATTGGAGGGAGAGAGTATGGAGGAGGTGAACGTATTCAGATATTTGGGAGTGGACGTGTCAGCGGATGGGTCTATGAAAGATGAGGTGAATCATAGAATTGATGAGGGAAAAAGAGTGAGTGGTGCACTTAGGAGTCTGTGGAGACAGAGAACTTTGTCCTTGGAGGCAAAGAGGGGAATGTATGAGAGTATAGTTTTACCAACGCTCTTATATGGGTGTGAAGCATGGGTGATGAATGTTGCAGCGAGGAGAAGGCTGGAGGCAGTGGAGATGTCATGTCTGAGGGCAATGTGTGGTGTGAATATAATGCAGAGAATTCGTAGTTTGGAAGTTAGGAGGAGGTGCGGGATTACCAAAACTGTTGTCCAGAGGGCTGAGGAAGGGTTGTTGAGGTGGTTCGGACATGTAGAGAGAATGGAGCGAAACAGAATAACTTCAAGAGTGTATCAGTCTGTAGTGGAAGGAAGGCGGGGTAGGGGTCGGCCTAGGAAGGGTTGGAGGGAGGGGGTAAAGGAGGTTTTGTGTGCGAGGGGCTTGGACTTCCAGCAGGCATGCGTGAGCGTGTTTGATAGGAGTGAATGGAGACAAATGGTTTTTAATACTTGACGTGCTGTTGGAGTGTGAGCAAAGTAACATTTATGAAGGGATTCAGGGAAACCGGCAGGCAGGACTTGAGTCCTGGAGATGGGAAGTACAGTGCCTGCACTCTGAAGGAGGGGTGTTAATGTTGCAGTTTAAAAACTGTAGTGTAAAGCACCCTTCTGGCAAGACAGTGATGGAGTGAATGATGGTGAAAGTTTTTCTTTTTCGGGCCACCCTGCCTTGGTGGGAATCGGCCAGTGTGATAATAAAAAAAAAATAAAAATCTATATTTCATGTAAAAAAATTTTTGTTTTAATACTTCTGGGTGTCAGGAACGGATTAATTGAATTTACATTATTTCTTATGGGGAAAATTGATTCGTAAATCGTCCATTTCAATAATAGTCCCACTTCCAGGAATGGATTATGGACGATTATTGAGGGACCACTGTACCTTTATCGAAGACTCTTGTTGGCATATGGAAGATGACAAGGAGGGGAGAGGGAGGAGGAGAGGTTATTGTTTGGAAGGGGAATCCCCCTCTATAAGGACTTCAGTTATCAAGGCCCTATCCGGGGTTACTTTCCTTCTTTGTCTTTTACTGGCACTAGGACCAACTTGGTCAGTGGACCCCGGTCACACAAAAATCTATCCAGAGAGGTCTGCTTCTGGTATCTCTTTAAGTGTTGCCTAAAATGGGACAAGGCATTGTCATAGAACATTGATGCAGACTTGTACATCTTGGTGAGATCGGTGGACATGCGTACACCACTTTCGTACTTTGCTACGAATTCTTTCTTGAATTCTATCATGTTCCTCGCCTTCTTTATCAAAGGGTTGGCACTCAGAACTTTCCTTGGCCCCATGGTGGCTTATTTAGCAGTTGCACTCAATAAACAAGCACAAAAAAGAATGCATTATTATGAAATGTTTCAAATGAACACACTGGGTAATGCTCACTCAACAAGAAACAAATCCAGAATGATTTAGAACACGTGGGTTGTTTTGTGTGGGCACGGGCAAGTGGATGCATTTGGGATGGCAGACCATTGTCAACTCTACAAAAACTGAGCAGATGTATGAAAAGTGGGACAAAATTTCGATGAAAAAAGTCGTTAAAAACCAGAGCATACGAAAACTGAGGTTTCACTGTACATACTTATTCTCATCCTCTCCCCCTTCTTATGAGTGTGTATAAATGTATATTTATACATGTATAACTCCCAACAGGTTTATCCTTCAAGCAGCAGAGTCAGGAATACGCATGAGTGCCATCAACATTGGTCCAACGCGGTCTGACAAGCATCTGTCATTTCGTGTTGATGCTCGCTGTGGGGAAGTGTTGCCTCGGCTCTCTCTATGATAACTGAGCTATGAAAGTTAAGAAGCAAAATTGTATCGAGTTTTCTAACAATACATTTGCATGTACAAACCACATATGAATGACAAGAAGTGTATTTTCCAGTCATTCTTTGTAGTTGACATAGTACTGTTAGGAGATGTGGAAGAAATACTACAGAATGGTGAATGTATCATCAAAGTGGTCCATGAAATGTTGAGGTAAATTACAGAATAAATGAGAAGGAAAATTACAAATGTTTTCCTAAATCTGTGAAGAGATGAAGAGATACAGGTTTACCAGTTTATGCAAAACTGCATAAGATATTCAGGTACTGTGATGAGAATGTTTTTTGTATGGATGTGAAGCATGGTCATTGTTACAGTGGAGTCTATTGATGACTCTGTACCTCAACATTGTTAGTCCATATAGGAACACTTATAGTACCATAGTATGTCGACCTACTTACTGAAGTTAAAGCTGCATTCTTGCCATGGATAATGTGTCATAAACATCTTTAAGCCTTTTTCACCATACTTGAAATCCTCAGACACGTTTCTCAGGTGAATATAGAACTACTGTGTTTCAGCAGAGTCATTCATTGTATCTCCCAACTCGGCTCACTGTTCTTCAAGTTGCATTAAGTGTGTATGAACATATATACTTTTTCAGTAACAAGAGTGCCGAATGACTTTATAGATCTGGTGGTACAGCTGAAAGTGGAGCATAGAGGTCTCTTTTACCAAGGTTTTACTCTCTTCATGCATGTCACCCTGCCTCGGTGGGAGATGACCAGTGTGTTAAAAAATTGTATACATACATATGTCCATGGGGAAGTGGAGAAGAAGCCTTCCTCTGTAGGCCATGTGTGCCATAAGAGGCAACTAAAATGCCAGGAGCAAGAGGCTGGTAACCCCTTCTGTATAAATTACCAAATTTAAAGAGAGAGACTTTCGTTTTTCTTTTTAGGTTACCCTGCCTCAGTGGGATACAACCGGTGTCTTAAGAATATATCTATGTATATAACTTTTTTTTCAACATGACAGCCATCTCCCACTGAGGCTGGGTGACCTAAAAAGAAAAACAAAAGTTTCGCTTTTTAAATTTAATAATGTATGCAAGAGAAGGGGTTACTAGCCCCTTGCTCCCAGTATTTTAGTCACCTCTTATGACAAGCATGGCTTACAGAGGAAGAACTCTTTTCCACTTCCCCATGGAGGTAAGAGGTACTAATGAACAAGAACTATTAAGAAAACAGAAGAAAACCCAGAGAGGGGTGTATATACATGTATATGCATGTACATGCATGTGTAGTGTGACCTAAGTGTTAGTAGAAGTAGCCAGATATACCCGTTATCCCACATGTTCAAGAGACAGAAGGACACCAACAATCCTACCATCATGTAAAATAATTACAGGTTTCCATTTCACACTCACCTGGCAGGATGGTAGTACCTCCCTGAGTGGTACTATTTATACACTATACTATACACTATATATTATACTATACACTGTATAATGATTATACACTATATAATGGTTATATATTATCTAATCCTAGGTAGTAGGTTGGTAGACAGCAAAAAATTATGCTTCCAACAGGCTGTCACACTCCTCTAAACAGGCATAGTTGGGGCCTCTAACCCTTCTTGGACAATTCCTGTATCCATTCTGCCTGCCTGAAAGCTGGAGACCAGACAAAAGGGAAACCATCTTAAAAAGTCTCTTAAAAGTGGTCTTAACACTCACAGTTACTCCAGTAAATTTTTAGGTAACCAGCTAAAAGTTTTAGGGGCTTGAGCACTCAGGAAGCGTGTGTGGAAGTTTTATATAGGAATGCACAGAGACAGGTGGTTTTTTTAATGGACATCCTGTTGGCGAATGAGCCAGGTAACTTTTGTGAAAGGATTCAGGGAAACTGGTTAGTCAGACTTGAGTCCTGGAGATGGGAAGGGCAGTCTTTACACACTGAAGGAGTTGGGGGATATTAAAGTCAGAGGATACTGATTGCTGTCAGCACACTTCTGGAAAGACATCAGTCAAATGGATTTTGGCGAATGTGTTTTCTTCTTAGGATCCCCTTACTTTTGCAGGAGACAGCTGTTGAGCTAAAAGAAAAAAAATAAGAACTGCTCCATTCTAGGTTAGTAAAGCCTGAAGGCTATGATTGTATGTACCTTATTATTCTTATTATCCTGTTATATGATTATTATTAATCATTATTAGTAGTAGTAGTCTTGTACTGCATTTTATTAAAAAAGTGCTAAACCAGTGTGGATCATATAGTGCTTTCATGATAAAAATGTATTTTGGAAGCCTATTTAAGATTTGAGAAAAGAGGCTTGTTTTCATTCCAGACAAATGTGTTGTGTAGTAAACTGAGCTGGAAAAATGTATTGACACCTAAATATGAATTGATCCCAGTCCAGACGAGGTGATGGTGGTACTGCAATTGTAGAAGTAAGGAGACTCTAGCCTCGGGAATCTTCAGTTGTTTTGTTAGGTGACTATATGGATTTTGGTCTTTGTAAATACTGTAGCAATCTTTCAAGACATGATAAATTGGTCTTCACTTTTGTGATAGTGAAATAGTATGGTTTTCATATTTTGTTGCTCTTGATGCAGAGAATTGATCCAAGTTGGTTACCTTCCATTTCCCAAGTACTGCCTGACAAATATAGGTCAAATACTTCCTAATAAAACACGTTTTTAACATCTGGCCATCTCCCAACACTTTAGGATGACACAGAATAAAGGAAATATTATTCATTCAATAAGTGTCTTTTTTTTTTTTTTTTTTTTTTTTTTTTTTTTTTTTTTTTATTATCACACTGGCCGATTCCCACCAAGGCAGGGTGGCCCGAAAAAGAAAAACTTTCACCATCATTCACTCCATCACTGTCTTGCCAGAAGGGTGCTTTACACTACAGTTTTTAAACTGCAACATTAACACCCCTCCTTCAGAGTGCAGGCACTGTACTTCCCATCTCCAGGACTCAAGTCCGGCCTGCCGGTTTCCCTGAATCCCTTCATAAATGTTACTTTGCTCACACTCCAACAGCACGTCAAGTATTAAAAACCATTTGTCTCCATTCACTCCTATCAAACACGCTCACGCATGCCTGCTGGAAGTCCAAGCCCCTCGCACACAAAACCTCCTTTACCCCCTCCCTCCAACCCTTCCTAGGCCGACCCCTACCCCGCCTTCCTTCCACTACAGACTGATACACTCTTGAAGTTATTCTGTTTCGCTCCATTCTCTCTACATGTCCGAACCACCTCAACAACCCTTCCTCAGCCCTCTGGACAACAGTTTTGGTAATCCCGCACCTCCTCCTAACTTCCAAACTACGAATTCTCTGCATTATATTCACACCACACATTGCCCTCAGACATGACATCTCCACTGCCTCCAGCCTTCTCCTCGCTGCAACATTCATCACCCATGCTTCACACCCATATAAGAGCGTTGGTAAAACTATACTCTCATACATTCCCCTCTTTGCCTCCAAGGACAAAGTTCTCTGTCTCCACAGACTCCTAAGTGCACCACTCACTCTTTTTCCCTCATCAATTCTATGATTCACCTCATCTTTCATAGACCCATCCGCTGACACGTCCACTCCCAAATATCTGAATACATTCACCTCCTCCATACTCTCTCCCTCCAATCTGATATTCAATCTTTCATCACCTAATCTTTTTGTTATCCTCATAACCTTACTCTTTCCTGTATTCACCTTTAATTTTTCTTCTTTTGCACACCCTACCAAATTCATCCACCAATCTCTGCAGCTTCTCTTCAGAATCTCCCAAGAGCACAGTGTCATCAGCAAAGAGCAGCTGTGACAACTCCCACCCTGTGTGTGATTCTTTATCTTTTAACTCCACGCCTCTTGCCAAGACCCTCGCATTTACTTCTCTTACAACCCCATCTATAAATATATTAAACAACCACGGTGACATCACACATCCTTGTCTAAGGCCTACTTTTACTGGGAAAAAATTTCCCTCTTTTCCACATACTCTAACTTGAGCCTCACTATCCTCGTAAAAACTCTTCACTGCTTTCAGTAACCTACCTCCTACACCATACACTTGCAACATCTGCCACATTGCCCCCCTATCCACCCTGTCATACGCCTTTTCCAAATCCATAAATGCCACAAAGACCTCTTTAGCCTTATCTAAATACTGTTCACTTATATGTTTCACTGTAAACACCTGGTCCACACACCCCCTACCTTTCCTAAAGCCTCCTTGTTCATCTGCTATCCTATTCTCCGTCTTACTCTTAATTCTTTCAATTATAACTCTACCATACACTTTACCAGGTACACTCAACAGACTTATCCCCCTATAATTTTTGCACTCTCTTTTATCCCCTTTGCCTTTATACAAAGGAACTATGCATGCTCTCTGCCAATCCCTAGGTACCTTACCCTCTTCCATACATTTATTAAATAATTGCACCAACCACTCCAAAACTATATCCCCACCTGCTTTTAACATTTCTATCTTTATCCCATCAATCCCGGCTGCCTTACCCCCTTTCATTTTACCTACTGCCTCACGAACTTCCCCCACACTCACAACTGGCTCTTCCTCACTCCTACAAGATGTTATTCCTCCTTGCCCTATACACGAAATCACAGCTTCCCTATCTTCATCAACATTTAACAAATCCTCAAAATATTCCCTCCATCTTCCCAATACCTCTAACTCTCCATTTAATAACTCTCCTCTCCTACTTTTAACTGACAAATCCATTTGTTCTCTAGGCTTCCTTAACTTGTTAATCTCACTCCAAAACTTTTTCTTATTTTCAACAAAATTTGTTGATAACAGCTCACCCACTCTCTCATTTGCTCTCTTTTTACATTGCTTCACCACTCTCTTAACCTCTCTCTTTTTCTCCATATACTCTTCCCTCCTTGCATCACTTCTACTTTGTAAAAACTTCTCATATGCTAACTTTTTCTCCCTTACTACTCTCTTTACATCATCATTCCACCAATCGCTCCTCTTCCCTCCTGCACCCACTTTCCTGTAACCACAAACTTCTGCTGAACACTCTAACACTACATTTTTAAACCTACCCCATTCCTCTTCGACCCCATTGCCTATGCTCTCATTAGCCCATCTATCCTCCAATAGCTGTTTATATCTTACCCTAACTGCCTCCTCTTTTAGTTTATAAACCTTCACCTCTCTCTTCCCTGATGCTTCTATTCTCCTTGTATCCCATCTACCTTTTACTCTCAGTGTAGCTACAACTAGAAAGTGATCTGATATATCTGTGGCCCCTCGATAAACATGTACATCCTGAAGTCTACTCAACAGTCTTTTATCTACTAATACATAATCCAACAAACTACTGTCATTTCGCCCTACATCATATCGTGTATACTTATTTATCCTCTTTTTCTTAAAATATGTATTACCTATAACTAAACCCCTTTCTATACAAAGTTCAATCAAAGGGCTCCCATTATCATTTACACCTGGCACCCCAAACTTACCTACCACACCCTCTCTAAAAGTTTCTCCTACTTTAGCATTCAGGTCCCCTACCACAATTACTCTCTCACTTGGTTCAAAGGCTCCTATACATTCACTTAACATCTCCCAAAATCTCTCTCTCTCCTCTGCATTCCTCTCTTCTCCAGGTGCATACACGCTTATTATGACCCACTTCTCGCATCCAACCTTTACTTTAATCCACATAATTCTCGAATTTACACATTCATATTCTCTTTTCTCCTTCCATAACTGATCATTTAACATTACTGCTACCCCTTCCTTTGCTCTAACTCTCTCAGATACTCCAGATTTAATCCCATTTATTTCCCCCACTGAAACTCTCCTACCCCCTTCAGCTTTGTTTCGCTTAGAGCCAGGACATCCAACTTCTTTTCATTCATAACATCAGCAATCATCTGTTTCTTGTCATCCGCACTACATCCACGCACATTTAAACAACCCAGTTTTATAAAGTTTTTCTTCTTCTCTTTTTTAGTAAATGTATACAGGAGAAGGGGTTACTAGCCCATTGCTCCCGGCATTTTAGTCGCCTCATACGACACGCATGGCTTACGGAGGAAAGATTCTTTTCCACTTCCCCATGGACAATAGAAGAAATAAAAAGAACAAGAGCTATTTAGAATAAGGAGAAAAACCTAGATGTATGTATATATATATATGCATGTGCGTGTCTGTGAAGTGTGACCAAAGTGTAAGTAGGAGTAGCAAGATATCCCTGTTATCTAGCGTGTTTATGAGACAGAAAAAGAAAACCAGCAATCCTACCATCATGCAAAACAGTTACAGGTTTTTGTTTCACAGTCATCTGGCAGGACGGTAGTACTTCCCTGGGTGGTTGCTGTCTACCAACCTACTACCTTAAATAAGTGTCTTGTCAGAAGTAAATGGATTTCACAATTCAAATGAACCTCCAGACTGTAACCCCACCCCTTTGTACTTCCCACCTCCAGGACTGTAATATCCTCACCCTTCCTGCAGAGTGCAGACATTGTACTCCCTACCTCCAGGACTGACATTCTCACCCCTCCTTCAGAGTGTAGATACTGTACTTCCCACCTCCAGTTTCCCTGAATCCCTTCATAAATGTTACTTTGCTGAAGCTTCAATAACATATCCATATACTCCTCCCTCCTTGCATCACTATTTTGTAAAAATCTCTCATTTGCTAACTTTTTCCTCTCTTACTATTCTACATCATTCCACCAGTCACTCTTCTTCCCTCCCACATCTACTCTCCTGTAACCACAAACTTCTGCTGAATGCTCTAACACTACATTCTTAAACCTACCCCATACATCTTCAACCCCATCTGTCCTCCGATAGTTGTTCATATCTTACCCTAACTGCCTCCTCCTTTAGTTTATAAACCTTCACCTCTCTCTAACCTGCTGCTTCCATTTTCCTTGTATCCCCTGTAGCTACAACTAAAAAGTGATCTGATATATCTGTGGCCCCTCTATAAACATGTACATCTTGAAGTTTACCCAGCAGTCTTTTATTTACAAATACGTAGTCCAACAAACTACTGTCATTACACCCTGCATCATATCTTGTATACTTATCCTCTTTTTTCCTAAAATATGTATTACCTGTGACCAAACCCCTTTCTGTACAAAGTTCAATCAAAGAGCCCCCATTATCATTTACACCTGGCACCCCAAACTTACCTACTACACCCTCTTTAAATGTTTCTCCTACTTTAGCATTTAGATCTCCTACCACAATTACTCTCTCACTTGGTTTGAAAGTTCTTACTCACTTAACATCTCCAAAAATCTCTCTCCTCTACACTCCTCTCTTCTCCAAGTGCATACACACTTTTTATGATCCACTTTTTGCATCCGACCCTTATTTTAATCCACATAATCCATGAATTTATACATTTATATTCCCTCTTCTCCTTCCATAACTGATCCTTCAACATTATTGCTACCCCTTCCTTAGCTCTAACTACATTTATTGGGAAGCAGTAAACGTGGAGAATGGGAGATAATTAGGTTTGATCTGAAAAAGGCTATCTCTCCATTTCCTTGGATCAACAGCCTTTCCCCAGCTTCACCTTGAGGAGAGAGAACCAAATGCATCTTTTCCTCTCAAAGGCTCTTGATCCAGTGAACTGGTCTTATCCTTTCCTTTCTTTGAATGCCTCCCATTCCCCAGGCACTAAACACTAAACCCACAAGGGTCATACAGTGAAGTGTATATATGTATAAAGTGCAGGCAGAAATAAAAATGCAGTTCATTGATAAACTCTGATAGTTGTATTAACAAGTTAATAACATGACACTTCAGGCACTGGTCTTGACTCTCCATCACCTCTCTTCAAGAAAGGTGCCTTCATTCTAGGGAAGAGCTCTTGATCCAAGGAATTAGAGCTATCATCCTCTTCCCTGTATCAAATTTGATTACCTCCCATTCCCCAGTGGTATGATGTTCATGAGTTTAACATTGTCACCATAATAATACAGCACAAAACACTTGCCAGTGTTGCAACACTGTTCTTATAGATTGTTGTAATCACAGAAAAGTGATAAACCCATAGAAATATAGGTAATCAAGTTTGATCAGAGAAGGAGAATATGTCTCCAGTTCCTAGGATCAATAGACTTTCATTACCATCAAGGTATGCCCCTTGATTGATTACATCATAGTCATTATTGGACAGCCTCTAATGTAAGTCTTATTACTGTTGAACATCCATGATACAGCTGCTACACCCCTGCTGCCACACACCTGATGCCAAATACCTGCAAGGGTAAACAAGAGAAGGTAACAATTGCTTCAACTGTGGGAAACTTCAAAACAAGTCAGATTAAATTCTGGAGACCTGATGCCAGGAGCCTGGCTGTGGTCTTGTACCTTCAAACACTGGTAGGTTATCACAGATTCATGATCACACACTGAAAATCACCTGCTGACACACTAGTGTGTTGCTATGCATATCCATCAGGGTTTTGACTCTGCCAGCACCAGGCATCCACACCTGGAGGAGAGAAACGAGTTAGCACCTTTTATACTTTCGATGTATTTTTGTTATACTATCAGATTAAGTCAGATTTTATTTCCATGAACTACAAGTGTTGATTTAGCTTTAGGATTACAGGAAGACCCCTTGTTATGCAAAGTATTTCATACTGAAACTGGTTCTTAAAAACTACTGAATACTAGTACAGATATTTAGATGAGGATTATGACCTGCAATTTTAGTTTTGCATGAGAGTTCAGCATAAACAATTTCTGTATATAAATGGTTTAGATTATAAAGGGAAGGTAGCAATTGAATAAGTTAGTGGTATAAGATATAATTAGCATATTGTTACATATTAATTATTACAATCAAAACTAAACACTAGACTCACGAGGGTCTGTCACATATTAAATGTTGTACATGAATAGTATACAATACCAACAAAATGAAAACTAGACACATGTGCAGCATCTGGGTATCTTTATTGTAGACGTTTTGCCATCCAATGGCTTTATCAATACAGATTCTAGGACATAACTTGAAGACAGTAGAACTATATACAAAAGATGAGGCAATCAGTCCCTCAGTCTTGGAGTTGGTGTGAAGAGCACTGTAGTAGTGGAGGCTGGCACATATATAGGCATCAGATGGATAGGGATGGGTAGCAGATGAGGATGTAGTCACTGGTAGGTGGGATTCCCCAGTAGAAGTAAATCATACCCAAGGGATGGGTTAGTGGTGGTAGTAGTTGTAGTAGCCATGAAGAAGGTTATTTAGATGCCCTCTGAACCAAGATTCCATGATGTTGCAGTGTCTGACAAGTTGTATACATAACCTTCTTCACGGCTACTACAACTACTACTACTACTACCACTAACCCATCCCTTGGGTATGACCTACTTCAACTGGGGAATCCCGCCTATCAGTGACTATGCCCTCATCTGCTACCCGTCCCTATCCACCTGACGCCTTTATAAGCGCCAGCCTCCTTGTCTGTGCTCCAGAATCTCCACAACTACGGTGCTCTTCACACCAACTCCAAGGCTGAGGGACTGATTACCTCATCTTTTTTATATAGTTCTATTGTCTTCAAGTTATTAACTATTTTTGAAGCTACTGGGAGAAAGTTTTGTTCATCTGTCAGGTACGTTGTTCCAAGTTTTCGATCCTTTAATTTGCATGAAGTGTTTACTCAAGCTGAGTTTTACATGTAGGATATAAAAGATATTTTTTTCAGGTATAATGCCTGTATACAGTATATGACCTGTTGCACTTTGCTAGGAATTTTTTTTTTTTTAACTCAGAACTGATATCCGAATTCAGTGGCACCCCTGCTTCTCATTGGGGAGGTTACACTGCCTGCCGAGTCTCTTGCAATCTTAGGGAATGATTTCCACATGTAGATTTTGGACTAGTCCCTCTAGGATTTTCCAAGTGTACATTATGATGTATCTTTCTTGCCTGCATTCCAAGGAGTACTGGTCAGGGGACTTCAAATGTTTCCAGTAATTGAGGTGCTTTATTGTATTTATATATGCAGTGAAAGTTTTCCATATATTTTTCTAGTCTGCAATTTTGCCCGCCTTGAAAGGAGCTGGCTAAAATTGCAGACCTGGAAAATGTAGAGAACTTTCACTGCACGTATACGTACATTATTATTTTATTTTATTATTATCACACTGGCCGATTCCCACCAAGGCAGGGTGGCCCGAAAAAGAAAAAATTTCATTATTATAATAAAAAAAGAAGCGCTAGACCTACAAGGGTCATACAGTGCAGCGCATATAAGTACAAAGCACCTCAGTTTTGGGGAACATTTGAAGTCCCTGTACTCCTTGTAATGCAGGTGAGATACATCATAATCTACACCTGGAAATCCAAGAGGGGCTAGTCTCAAATCTACACATGGAACTCACTTCCCAAGAAAGCAAAAGACTTAGCAGACAGTTCAACATCCCCAATGAAAAGAAGGGGTGCCACTCAATTCAGATATTAACACTGAGTTAAATATTCTTGGCAGTTAATATCTGAATGAGTGGCTTTTCATTGGGGAGATGTTGCACTGCATTCCAAGTCTTTTACTTACTTAGGGAGCGATTTCTGTGCGTAGATTTGGGACTAGTCCCTCTAGGATTTTCCAGGTGTAGATTATGATGCATCTTTCTTGCCTACATTCTAAAGAGTACAGGTCAGGGGATTCAAATGTTCCCAGTAATTGTGGTGCTTTATTGTACTTATACATGCAGTGAAAGTTCTCTGTATATTCTCCTGGTCTGCAATTTTGCCTGCCGTGAAAGGAGCACATATAAGTGTACAGTAAAGCACCTCAATTTTTGGGAATGTTTGAAGTCCCTTGACCTGTACTCCTTGGAATGCAGGAAAGATTCATAATCTACACCTAGAAAATCCTAGAGGGACTAGTCCGAAATCTGCACATAGAAATCACTCCCTAAGAAAGCAAAAGACTCAGCAGGCAGTGCAACATCCCCCCATTGAAAAGCAAGGGTGCCACAAGTACACTAAGAGATAACAAAATAAGTGTCAGGGATCCAATACTGTAAAACTTCCTCCCAGCATACATAAAAAGGATTACCAATAGACCCCTAGCTGTCTTTCAAGAGGCAGTCGGACAGGCACTTCAAGTCAGTATTGATCGTCTGGACTGTGGTTCGTATTTTGGATTGCAAACAGCCTGGTTGATCAGGCCCTAATCCACCATGAGGCCTGGTCATGGACCAGGCCGTGGGGACGTTGACCCCCAGAACAACCTCCAGGCATAATCCAAGTAAGCACCCTTCATCAGTATCAAAACATCTCCCTGGAAGGACCAGGATTATACATAGTAACAGAATGTTTTGAAAAGGTGTGGAGATACTACAACCTAAGCAGCAGCAGGTATGAAGGGACTACAGGTGTGGAAAGACTACACAATAAGCAGCAGCAGATACAGAGGGACTAGACATTAAGCAGCAGCAGGTGTGTAGACATACACATCTGGTGTAGGTCACGTGATGCTCTCCAGCCCAGCTGCTGCTGAGCCAAAACACAGCTGCCCACCATAGTGGCCACATCACCTTCACGACGTCCCACCACACGGTACGGGATCTTCTTCTGGCTTGCTCTGTAAAGTTATAAATGCATTACATTAGTTTGGGGTTTTCTTGCAAATATTATAAATGCCTAAAACCCCTTGTTTAATGAAACATTGAAGAGTGTGACTCCAAAAATTTAGGGACCTCTTACTATACTAACCCTTCAGGAAGGTGTCATGATGCAGGGAAGAGGGTTTTATCTGAGTAATTAGACCTGACCTCCCCTTCCTTGATTCTAACCTGATTGCCCCCATTCCATTTATACGCTATGAGAGTGTACAGTACAGTAATAGTTAAGGCTCGATCCTCTGCTCAGTAATCATGACCTGATATCAAATCACTCTGGCTAAGTGTTGATCTTGCTTTACAAGAGGATCACAGCTTTTAAGACAAAGTACATAGGGACACTTTGAAAGGAGAGGAAACAGAGAATACAACTGAAAATTAGATTTGAATTATGCCTTAGGACATAAATACAGGAGGGCCCCGCTTATACAGCAGGTTAAGTTCCGGCTACCACTGTAAAGCGAAAATCACTGTAAAGTGAAACATGGCCTCTTTCCCTTTCAAATACATAAAAAAACCTGATAACATGTTTACATTATCATGTATTAAGCAATAGAGCTAGGCCTAAAAAATGCATATACAGTACACACATTTCTTACCTTAACATATTTTCACTCTTAGCTTATAGCGAGTGGTAAATATGTTTGTTGTAGGAAGTCTGAATAAATGAAGAATGGGTATAACTGAAAACTGCTGCATTAGCAAAAAGCTATAAAGCAAAGCACTGTAAAGTGAGGCCCTCAAGTAATTCCTTTGTGTGTGAGGACCCTTCAAGAAATGTGCCTTGATTCAAGGAATTAGAGCTACACTCCACTTCCTTGAATCAATGTGAGGCTAATGAATATATGTACTACATTAGGGTCATAGTGGATGCTGACGAGACATTTGAAGTTCACAGTAGACATGACAGAGCAAGGGGCAAGCTTAAGAGGCTAATTACTGAACAAAGACCCAAGACATGGAGATTAACTTCCACAAATAATAATAATGTGGATACACAGAGCTTCCCACTTTGACAATTTTCTTCTTCTTATTCTTTTTAGTAATCTTTACAGGAAAAGGGGCTACTAGCCCATTGTTCCCGGCATTTTAGTTGACTTTTACAACACGCATGGCTTACGGAGGAAAGATTCTTATTCCACTTCCCCATGGATATAAAAAGGAAAAGTAATAAGACCAAGAACTATTAAGATAAAATCAAAGAAAACTCAGACGAGTGTGTATAAATAAACGTTTGTAGATGAATGGTTCAGAGAACCGACATGTTGATAAATTAGACACATGTGCAACTCTTGGGTATCTTTATTGAGGAAATGTTTCGCCACACAGTGGCTTCATCAGTCCATACATAGGAGAAACGTTTCCTCAATAAAGATACCCAAGAGTTGCACATGTGTCTAATTTATCAACATGTCGGTTCTCTGAACCATTCATCTACAAACCTGTCAGACACTGCAACTTCTTGGGATCTTAATACTTAGGAATTCTTCGCTTGCCTAATTCTTGGGCACAACCTACTTCCACATTTAACAAATGTGACACCACCTATGACTGCTGCACCCTCTCCTGCCATACGGTTTATAAGCTGCTTCTCCGCTCATCTGCCGTATTCTACTCAAGATTGATGGACTGAACACATCGACTCAAGGTTGAGGGACTGATTACCTCATTCTCCTCCTGTTCTTCAAGTTTCTCCTATGTATGGACTGATGAAGCCACTGTGTGGCGAAACATTTCCTCAATAAAGATACCCAAGAGTTGCACATGTGTCTAATTTATCATAAATAAACGTGTACATGTATGTGTAGTGTGACCTAAGTGTAAGTAGAAGTAGCAAGACATGCCTGTAATCTTGCATATTTATGAGACAGACAAAAGACACCAGCAATCCTACCATCATGCAAAACAATTACAGGCTTTCGTTTTACACTCATTTGGCAGGACGGTAGTACCTCCCTGGGTGGTTGCTGTCTACCAACCTACTACATGGAAAGCATATAAATCTATAGGGGAAGGAAGGCGGGGTAGGGGTCGTCCTCGAAAGGGTTGGAGAGGGGGGTAAAGGAGGTTTTATGGGCGAGGGGCTTGGACTTCCAGCAAGTGTGCGTGAGCGTGTTAGATAGGAGTGAATGGAGGTGAATGGTACTTGGGACCTGACGATCAGTTGGAGTGTGAGCAGGGTAATATTTAGTGAAGGGATTCAGGGAAACCGGTTATTTTCACATAGTTGGACTTGAGTCCTGGAAATGGGAAGTACAATGCCTGCACTTTAAAGGAGGGGTTTGGGATATTGGCAGTTTGGAGGGATATGTTGTGTATCTTTATACGTATATGCTTCTAAACTGTTGTATTCTGAGCACCTCTGCAAAAACAGTGATTATGTGTGAGTGAGGTGAAAGTGTTGAATGATGATGAAAGTATTTTCTTTTTGGGGATTTTCTTTCTTTTTTCGGTCACCCTGCCTCGGTGGGAGACGGCCGACTTGTTGAAAAAAAAAAAAACACAGAGCTATAATAACATTCATTCCTAATCATGTAATCCTTATGGGTTTAGTGCTTTCCCACAACAGTAATCATGTACAACTTTTTCAATATAAAAATAAGAGTTTGTTAGGGTTAAAGATGATCAATTCCACATGGGTCATTTAAGCTAAACTTGCACCCTAATATCAAGAAAACTTTTTTTTTTTCTAAAATAGAGATAAAACTAATGCTATATTTTTGAGAGAGAGAGGGGTAAAGGAGAGGAGCTTGCCTGGTGAATGCCGTAATCATCTCTAACACCGAGACACCAGCTCCAGTGCCCAAGTTGTAGGCAACAGCACCCTGGAAGTCTTCACTGTTCAGCTTGTCCAGGGCAGCTACATGTCCACTAGCAAGGTCCATCACATGGATGTAGTCCCGCACACCTGCCCAACACACCTGTTTTTGTTAAATTTGTTCATCACACCTGTTGAGTTAAATTTAGTCAAAGTGAGTAAAGTATTATATGCCAAATCTCCTTCCACAGAGATTCCTCAGTGTTCAAAAGGGGTTCTTGATCCAAGGAATGGGACTTGTCCTTCCCTTGGATCAAACCTAATTTTCTCCCATTCCCCAAATTTTATAATTAGCTCTTCCTCTTAAATATAACCTGTACCAAATATTAATGATGATGATGTGGTCCATATCCTTGTAATCAGCGCTACCCACCCTTTCCTCTCTCAGAATAACCACACCCCCACCCATTCCCTGAGCTGTAAATAATTCTCATAGATTTAGCACATCCCCATGACAAAAAAAAATATACTGGGATATGAGTTTTGGTATAACTTTACCATCTGAGTGTTTGTGAACTGGAATTTTACACAGCAAATTACCTTAAACCTATTTTTACTCAACAGATATCAGCTGTTAGAATGATCATTTAATCAGGTTGTAGACAACACTCATTCCAACCCCCTGCCCCTTATTGCAAAGTTTAAATCTGCTCAGCATACAAAATATCTGCACTTACTAGTTTGTTTAACATGGACACAAAACACTCAGTTTAAACACTGACCCAGCTAGTGTTCAGACTTCTGGGAGAGCTGCAACAGGACACACAGACACAACACAAAAAACAAATATCTCTCTGACATACCATATGCTCAACTTAACCCGTTTAGCAATTCCATGTAAAGTGAAGGCCCTAAAGCATGAAAATCACTACCTGAAGATGTAAAAAAAAGTTCCCTCTCTCCGTCAATTGCCTCAAAACTCTTGTTTAAAAAATGCCTTCCAAACCTCATGTGGTTTTTCCATTGAAAGACTGTAAATAATTAATGTCTATAATACCTAGTGTGACCTGTTTACCAAAGCTAATTAGCATCCATGCTCATGTACTATTGTCATCATCTTGTTTGGCCACCAATAATTAATTCAACCAAACTTATCACACATAAATAGTTTATCACACTCAGTATTCAAGCGATCAAAGTCTTACCTCTACATAGTTTATTTTTTTAATTTCAAGCCCTAATGACAAGTCAAAGTTAAAAATGCCCAAAATGCTTTGCATAATCAGTGGCTTTTCAATTAGCTTGTACTCCATTCCCTTTATTTGTAATCTTTCTATGTAAATAAAGTTTATTTTCACTAATTCATTGATATTTGTACCAAGCATGTGTGTATGTATGGTACTTGCATACTACCATGTTCATAACATACCTGTACCATCAGGTGTGTTGTAGTCGCCTCCATAGACAAGTAGTTCATCGAGTTTCCCAACGGCGACCTGAGCAATATAAGGCAGAAGGTTGTTGGGCGTCCCTTTCGGGTCCTCCCCGATCATGCCAGACTCATGGGCACCAACTGGGTTAAAGTAGCGAAGGAGCACCACTCGCCACTCCTGTAATGTTAAGTAACTCAGTAACAGTGAGGGGCACCACCTACCATTCAAATAGTGTTCCAGATCATCTTAGTACCAGCTGATGCTATCTGGAATTCAATGACATTAACAACCACTTTTACTTCTGAATCCCAGAACATTCTTTAAAACACTTATAAGTCAGCATAACTTCAGTAACTCCCATCAACATTCCAATAACAGCAGTAACACCTTCAGCTTACAACTGGGCAAGTTTCACCCAGGGACAGTTGGAAAAGATTGGGCAAGTCACCTTACATCTGGATCAACTGGTGTACTGCTACCAACAGTGAAGAAAAAACACAGGTTGCAAAATAAGCTTTTGTTGGGACAACATTTCACTCTGTAGAGTTTATCAAGTCATCAACAGAATGATAAAAGTTCTATACAGAGCAAAATGTTGTTCCAATAAAAATCTGGTCTGAAACATGTCTGTTCTTCACTCTTTTCACCTGTTACCTTTATTCATCTAGTAGTAAATAGGTACCAGTTTGCTAGCCAACTCTTGTGGTAGTTTACCTTTAATAGATCTGAGCTTTGAAATGAGATAGGATAAAAGAAACAATAATATGTAAACTGAGCTGTGTAAAGAAAAAAATACGTATAAAGAGTATATACCTTATCTGTGGCAGCCAAGTCCCTGAGGATCTGTTCACAGATATGCTTGGTGTGACCATAGGGGTTGGTGATACCCACACCTGTGGGATGCTGCTCATCTGTGGGTAGGTACTGGGGCACCCCATATACTGTGGCTGAAGAGGAGTACACTAACCTCTTTACACCAGCCTCATTCATTACCTGTTTGGGAAGTGAAAACTCAGGGAGGCAGTCACTTGGGGAAGGGGGTAATGGGTCTGGGGCCTGCTATAGTGGTAGTAAAACTGTTGTGAGGGTAGTTCAGTCTAGTGGGTGGCGGCAGTGATTCTGTGGTGCTAGTTTTGTTGTTATGGGGATCATGATGATGTACGGGAAGTAGCATAATAAAAGGACATGCAGAAAACTGGTTTGATTATGCCTTGAAGTTTTTCACTCAGCTATTTTCATAAGATTTGTTTAAAATTTTGGAATTATATTTGCTTTACTCTAAATTATATCAAGTGAATAAGTTATACATATTTAGAACTAACAAAGGGGGCAAACAAGAATACCATTATATTCTTCAAGATAAATGAATATTTACTTTTGTGACCTACTAGAGCTAGACTAACCTCTAGAAGGGTGAGAGTACCAGTGACGTTGTTGGAGTAATAGGCCAGCGGCTTCTCTACAGACTCTCCCACAGCCTTCAGTGCAGCGAAGTGTATCACCACATCAATCTTATGCTGGAGAGAGTAAAGGAGAATGAGAGAGGAAAAATGGAGTGAGGGGGGGAAATGAGAAAGGAGAGATAACTGTGAGGGGTAGAAAATGGAGAGTGAGGGAAGAGGGAGGAAGACTGAAGGAGAAGAAGAAAGGGAAGGGAAGGAGAATAAAGGAGAAGTAGAGCAAGAAACAGATGGACAACCTAAAGATATACCTCCTCTCCCCAAGGAAAAAGGTGAAGGATATACCTAAAATTTACATTTTAGTAAATTTTGCTTAAATTGATGTGGAGATGAGTCTAATTCCTGTCCTCTGTCCCCCTCACCTGAGAAATGTATATGGTACAGTACTCATTTAGCCACTAGGCCATGACAGGCATAATATCCTTTTAATTTTGAGTTTGCTGGGAGCTTGCCTGGGCATTTTACAAGTGTTAAACATAATTTCTAAAGATAGAGCCATAGCATGCTGGAGAGAGAGAGAGAGAGAGATTGAGATTTTAATGTTATGCACTGTGTACATAAGTATGCCAATAACCGAAGTGTCTGAGAGTATCCAGCTTTGTATCACTGTAAGAGTATAAAAACCTCCTAACACACTCAAACTTGTAAGGATATTGTGACCTGGTGGCTGAGTACCATACTGTATGTTTCTCTAGGAAAGACAGATGATATGGGTTCAAGTCATTCCTGCAGTGTTGTAAGACACTTCTAGGTTTAGAACTGGAGTATACCTGGAGAGGGTTTTGGGGGTCAACACCCCTGCAGGCCAGTCTGTGACCAGGTCTCATGGTGGCTCAGGGCCTGATCAACTAGGCTGTTGCTGTTGGCCACACACAACCTGGTGTATGAACCACAGCCCAGCTGGTCAGGTACTGACTTCAGGTGCCTGTCCAGTGCCTTCTTGAAAATAGCCAGGGGTCTATTGGTAATCCCCCTTATGTATGCTGGAGGCAGCTGAACACTTAATGTGTTGTCTCTTATTGTGCTAGTGGCACCCCTGCTTTACATTGCTGGAATGTTGCATTGCCTGCCTAGTCTTTTGCTTTCATAGGGAGTGATTTTCATGTACAAGTTTGGTACTAATCCCTCTAAGATTTTCCAAGTGTATATAATCATGTATCTCTCCCACCTGCATTCTAGGGAGTACAGGTTGAGGAACTTCAAGCATTCCCAGTAATTTAGGTGTTTTATCGCAGTTATGTGTGCCATGAAGGTTCTCTGTACATTTTCTAGGTTAGCAGTTTCACCTGTCTTGAAAGGAGCTGTTAGTGTGCAGCAATATTCCAGCTTAGACAGAACAAGTGACCTGAAGAGTGTCATCATGGGCATGGCATCCCTAGTTTTGAAGGTTCTCAATATTCATCCTGTCATTTTTCTAGCAGATGCAATTGATACACTGTTATGGTCTTTGAAGGTGAGATCCTCTGACATGATCACTCCCAGGTCTTTTACATTAGTTTTTCGCTGTATTGTGTGGTTGGAATTTGTTTTATAATCCGATATAGTTTTAATTTCCTCACGTTTTTCCATATTGGAGTAATTGAAATTTCTCATCATTGAACTTCATATTGTTTTCTGTGGCCCATTTAAATTTAGACTTGGTTGATGTCTGCCTGGAGTTTTGCGGTGTCTTCAATGGAGGACACTGTCATGCAAATTTGGGTGTCATCTGCAAAGGAAGACACGGTGCTGTGGCTTACATCCCTGTCTATGTCAGATTTGAGGATGAGGAACAGGATGGGAGTGAGTGCTGTGACTTGTGGCTTCTTTTTGATTATAATAATTTGTGCCTTGTGGAACAGAGCCTTTCACCATAGCTGCCTCAGACTTTACTCTGTTTACTTTTACTCTTTGTGTTCTATTTCTTAGGAAATTATAGATCCATCTACCAACTTTTCCTGTTATTCCTTTATCACGCATTTTGAGCACTATTACACCATGGTCACACTTGTCAAAGGCTTTTGCAAAGTCTGTGTATATATCTGCATTTTGTCTGTCTTCTAGAGCATCCAGGACCTTGTCATAGTGGTCCAGTAGTTGGGACAGACAGAAGTGACCTGCTCTAAACCTATGTTGCCCTGGATTGTGTAATTGATGAGTGTATAGATGGGTGGTGATCTTGCTTCTTAGAACCCTTTCAAAGATTTTTACGATATAGGACGTTAACGCTATTGGTCTGTAGTTCTTTGCTATTGCTTTACTGCCCCCTTTGTGGGGTGGGGCTATGTCTGTTGTTTTTAGCAGCTTTGGGATGACCCATGTCCATGCTCCCTCTCTATAGGATGTTAAAAGCACATGATAGGGGCTTCTTGCAGTTCTTGATGCATTATTAATATTATGTCATCTCTGCAACCAGATTATTATCACATTCATAGGGAAGAATTACACCTGTAGGAATCATATAGCACCTGGAGGTTGGGAGGCATTCAATTCTGATTCCAGGAAGGAGAGATCATGTCCCATTCCTTGGAGCAGGATCTTGCCATCAAGGAACATCTCTTGAGAGATTTGCAACTAGAGCTGCAGATCATAAGGAACAAGTGATATCCTAATATGCAATTTAACTACAGTGAAAGATAATTAAATCTCAAGCACTTTTGTGATCTCCCTATCACATTCTTAAGGAAGGGATACATAATGTGATGTTTAAACAATGAAACAGGTCAGTGAACAATGAAAAAGGTTCTTAATATACTAAAACAGATTCCTTAATACTAAAAGAGGCTCCTGAACATCAAAGCAGGTTTCCAAAGTGAGTCTTATATAGTGTAACATTTCTAAATTGAGGAAAAGACTTTGGATTATGAATCCAAAAGGTTAGTAACCAAGGTTAACTTCATAAAGCCAGTAAATATGGCTTTATGGAGTTATCCTTGGGTTCCTTTTAAGGTCCTTTTCTAGGATGGAACTCCAATCAGTCAGCTTACTTCCAGGTACTGTATTTATTTACTGCTGGGTAACATGAGCAGATGTTAGCAGACATCCTGCCTTGAAGTGGGGTTCAATCCCACATTATCTCGGGTATGAACTGAGCACACTACCCACTCTGGTACTAAACAATGAAACAAGTTACTAAGCATATATAAAGATTACTAATACAAATAGGTTACTAAAAGTTTTAGATCTTTACTTAGATCAAAGGGATTCACCTGTGCAAAGACTTGAGCAAGGGCATCACGGTCGAGGAGAGATACCATATGGAAGGCAGTGATGGTCTTGCCGGTGATGGTGCACACCCTTGCCAGGGCAGGAGGTAGCTGTCCAGCCTCTTGCCCTCTGGCACTGTTGCAACAGTTGTCCACAACCACCACTCTGTGACCAGCCTCTAGCAGTTCAACCAGTGTGTGCGACCCTACGAACCCGGCTCCACCTGTCACCAGCACCAACAAGCCCATCCTGGACACAGAAAGCAATGCTATTAACATCCTGACTCATAAATCTGGAAGCATTTAACATATGGAAGGTCGAGTCCCAACCATTCCTTGAGCCATGAGCTATGCTTGTTCAGCACCTGAAATTTAAAAATATATACATGAGAAAATATTATGGCACTTGTGTCCTATGTGAATAAGAAATGTTTTGGCAGTGTAAAAAAAGTCCATTAATGTGCAAGAAGAAAGTTACTGAACTCTAAGAAGTCAAAATTTTATTGGAAGTAACCTTTGTGCCAAAGTTAGTTGAGTTTTCATGACTAATTCCAAAGACAGAAGCAAAATGCATTTATTTCTCTCTCTCTCTCTCTCTCTCTCTCTCTCACACACACACACACACTTTGTACATGATGTACGTTAAGATTTTTATTATAATCATGGGGGAGCACTAAACCCGTAGGACTATACAGAGCATGTGGGGGGGATGGAAGGCATTCAGGCTCAGTTTAGGAAACTGGAGCACAGATCCAATTCCCTAGATTAAGAGTCCCTCACCAGCATCAAGGAACCTTCCTTGAGGGGAAGCATGTTAAGAAATTCAAGAAAATGCAAAGGTTTGGAACAAGACTGGTCCTGGAGCTACGGGGTATACCCTACGAGGAGAGGTTAAGGGAATTCAACCTTGACGACAACGGCTGACATGAGGGATAATAAGGACATGATAAGGGCATATAAAATACTGAGAGGAACTGACAAGGTAGACAGGGACAGGATGTTCCAGAGATGGGACACAGCAACAAGGGGTCACAGTTGGAAGTTGAAAACTCAGATGAGTCACAGGAATGTTATAAAGTATTTTTTCAGCCATAGAGTTGTCAGAAAATGGAACAGTCTGTAAAGTGACGTAGTGGAGGCAGGATCCATACATAGTTTTAAGATTAGGTATGATAAGCTCATGGAGCAGGGGGAGCGAGGACCTAGTAGCGACCAATAAAGAAGCGGGGGCCAGGAGCTATGAATCGACCCCTGCAACCACAATTAGGTGAGTACACACACACAACAAAAAGTTGGACACTTGTATACCTGGTCTCAACACTGTACCTGATGAGAGGACACTGACTGGGTCCATCGAGGGCGCTACCGATTGCTTTATCAGAATGCTGACACAAGATAATCGAAGTGCTTGTCTCTCCGTGCTTGCTTGCGTGTGTTTGTATATGTACTCACTTATTTGTGGTTGTAGAGGTCGAGTCACAGCTCCTGGCCCCTCGCCTCTTTGCTGGTCGGTCGCTACTAGGTCCACACTCCTGCTCCACGAGCTTTATCGTATCTCTTCTTAAAGCTATGTATTGATCCTGCCTCCACTACCTCACTCTCCAGACTGTTCCACTTCCTGGCAACTATGAGTGAAGAAATACTTCCTAACATCCCTGTGACTCATCTGAGTCACAGCGATGAGAGTGATAATTTAAGATTGGTGAATCTGGGTTTCTTGATCTTGTCTCTCAACTGAGGTGACTATGCTCTGTCATACCTATTCATGAACCTCTGCATAGAGCCCTCTTCCTCTGTGTCATTATCCAGTGTGTTTCAATTCTTTACCACTTTTATGGTCAAGAATTACTTCCTAGGTGTGTAATTTCCAATCAAGCTCTCTTGTTCTTATTGATCCCCTGGTAAAGGATCTATCCTTGTTTTGAAGTACGTGTACAACATAGTGGACATGTCCTTTAGACATTCCTCAGAGTACATATTTGAAGAAATTTGAAGATTAGTTTTAGGCATTAAAATTAAGCAAAGATCTCAGTGAATAATACCAGAGCCATATACTAGGAAAGTGTGTACTCACCTAGTTGTGTTTTGCAGGGGTAAGTCATGTTTCTACTCAGCCTCTCAACTATTTTCGACAGAGGAGTTTCCCTGAACCAGCTTGTCTGTTAAAAAAAATGTTATCTGAATTTACGTTTTGGATTAAAGTAAAATTGTTTACCCACAATGTGGTTCAGATGCTCAGTATATGCAACTGACCCTTCTACCAGAAGACTTCTTAGCTTAACCCCGGAGGGTGATTTAGGAATAACTAAATTATCATATTTTGAGGGAAACGCTACACCCGTAGGGGTCATACAGAATCCGGGGAAACTGGAGACAATTAGGTTTGATCCTAGGAAGGGGAGGACAGGTCCAATTCCTTGTATCAAGAGCCCCTCACCAGCATCAAGAAACCTATCTCGTAAGAGAGGATAACCCAGGGCTGAGCAGTAAGGCCTATTTATACTAGCGTCCTTCCCTTATTTTGGCTTTAGTAAGAGGCCTACAACAGCATATTAACTCTCATTCATTATCAGGCGATCAGAGGCAGTAAGTTATTATATCCTGTTATTATATCCTGAAGATGACGCACAGGTGAAGCTCTTGTGGAACTGTAGTAATCAAAGGAACAATGTAACCAAGTAATCTTCTTGAACAATACAAGATTATATACCTGGATAAGACACAGACAAGTGTGAAACAAGACACAGCACAGATTAAGCCATTCGTGGCGAAACGTTTCCTCATTAAAATATCCTAACACTAAATATGTGTCTTATTTCACAGTCCTAAACCCATAAACAATATTTAGTGCAAATAAGGTCACATTTTCATCAGTAGCTTTAGTAAAACCAGCACCTCACACCATACCTTACTAAAAAGAAAGAGGAGGTAATATAAATAATTCAAACCCACATATACCATAATGTTTTTGTTCCTGATTAGGTATATGTACCAGATTGTAAAAAATATAAATAATGCATTACTTCTGTAACAGTGGGATCCAGACTCTACCAGATAGATAATCATGTTCTAATCTTTACACTACGGCCCACAGTATGAGAATGGGGTGCATAATAAAGATATTAAACAAATTGACATTATCGCATAATGAAAAGCATCTAATGTGCATATCTCACTGATTTTGTTTAAATGTTTATGTTAAAAAAGATAGTGATGACTCGCTATATAGACAAGTGGAGAGAGAAGATAAGGAAGGGTTACACCCATCCTCACTATCTCCCGGCTCCATTAGGCTGTATTATCTCCATCTCTACACCGCATTCGTGGGCACAAAGCTGTAAACGCCCATAGTTTACAGGTGTTCTAAATGCGTGTCCCTGTTAAGTACGCGTATTAAAAATAGTATGTGGAATCACCGTCACCCCTTCCCCATAACTGTTACACTGTTGCACGCATAACTACATCAGTTATAACACACACATCCCTGGAAACTGGGCAACTACCTGAGGTATGGAAGACGGCAAATGTAGTTCCCATTTTCAAAAAAGGAGACAGAAAAGAGGCACTAAACTATAGACCTGTGTCATTGACGTGTATAGTATGCAAAATTATGGAGAAGATTATCAGGAGAGTGGTAGAGCACCTGGAACGGAACAGGAGTATAAATGCCAACCAGCACGGATTCACGGAAGGCAAATCCTGTGTCACAAACCTTCTGGAGTTTTATGATAAAATAACAGAAGTAAGACAAGAGAGGGGTGGGTTGATTGCATCTTCTTGGACTGCAAGAAGGCTTTTGACACAGTTCCTCACAAGAGATTAGTGCAGAAGCTAGAGCATCAGGCGCATATAACAGGAAGGGCACTGCAATGGATCAGAGAATACCTGACAGGGAGGCAACAACGAGTCATGGTACGTAATGATGTATCACAGTGGGCACCTGTGACGAGCGGGGTCCACAGGGGTCGGTCCTAGGACCAGTGCTATTTTGGTATATGTGAACGACATGACGGAAGGGTTAGACTCAGAAGTGTCCCTGTTTGCAGATGATGTGAAGTTAATGAGGAGAATTAAATCTGATGAGGACCAGGCAGGACTTCAAAGAGACCTGGACAGACTGGACACCTGGTCCAGCAAATGGCTTCTCGAATTTAATCCTGCCAAATGCAAAGTCATGAAGATAGGGGAAGGGCACAGAAGACCACAGACAGAGTATAGGCTAGGTGGCCAAAGACTGCAAACCTCACTCAAGGAGAAAGATCTTAGGGTGAGTATAACACCGAGCATGTCTCCGGAAGCACACATCAATCAGATAACTGCTGCAGCATATGGGCGCCTGGCAAACCTGAGAACAGCATTCCGACACCTTAGTAAGGAATCATTCAAGACACTGTACACCGTGTATGTCAGGCCCATACTGGAGTATGCAGCACCTGTTTGGAACCCGCACTTGATAAAGCACGTCAAGAAACTAGAGAAAGTACAAAGGTTTGCAACAAGGTTAGTTCCAGAGCTAAGGGGAATGTCCTATGAAGAAAGATTAAGGGAAATCGGCCTGACGACACTGGAGGACAGGAGGGTCAGGGGAGACATGATAACGACATATAAAATACTGCGTGGAATAGACAAGGTGGACAAGGACAGGGTGTTCCAGGGAGGGGACACAGAAACAAGAGACCACAATTGGAAGTTGAAGACACAAATGAGTCAGAGAGATAGTAGGAAGTATTTCTTCAGTCATAGAGTTGTAAGGCAGTGGAATAGCCTAGAAAATGACGTAGTGGAGGCAGGAACCATACACAGTTTTAAGACGAGGTTTGATAAAGCTCATGGAGCGGGGAGAGAGAGGGTCTAGTAGCAACCGGTGAAGAGGCGGGGCCAGGAGCTAGGACTCGACCCCTGCAACCACAAATAGGTGAGTACACACACACACCTCAAAGGCGGTGGGACCAGACATCTCTCCGTGGGTCCTTAAAGAGGGAGCAGAGATATTGTGTGAGCCATTAACAAAGAACTTCAACACATCATTTGAAACTGGGCAACTCCCTGAGGTATGGAAAATGGCAAATGTAGTCCCAATTTTTAAAAAGGGAGACAGACATGAGGCACTAAACTACAGACCTGTATCACTAACGTGTATAGTATGCAAGGTCATGGAGATCATCAGGAGGAGAGTGGTGGGGCACCTGGAAAGAAACAACTGTATAATTGACAACCAGCACGGTTTCAGGGAAGGAAAATCCTGTGTCACAAACCTACTAGAGTTTTATAACAAGGTGACAGAAGTAAGACAAGAGAGAGAGGGGTGGATCGACTGCATATTTTTGGACTGCAAGAAGGCCTTCGACACAGTTCCTCACAAGAGGTTACTGCAAAAGCTAGAGGACCAGGCACACATAACAGGAAAGACACTGCAATGGATCAGAGAATATATGACAGGGAGGCAACAACGAGTCATGGTACACGACGAGGTGTCAGAGTGGGCGCCTGTGACAAGCGGGGTTCCACAGGGGTCAGTCCTAGGACCTGTGCTGTTCTTGGTATATGTGAACGACATAACGGAAGGGATAGACTCAGAAGTGTCCTTGTTTGCAGATGATGTGAAGTTAATGAGAAGAATCAAATCGGACGAGGATCAGGCAGGACTACAAAGAGACCTGGACAGGCTACAAGCCTGGTCCAGCAACTGGCTCCTTGAATTTAACCCTGCCAAATGCAAAGTCATGAAGATTGGGGAAGGGCAAAGAAGACCGCAGACACAATATAGTTTAGATGGCCAAAGACTGCAAACCTCACTCAAGGAAAAAGATCTGGGGGTGAGTATAACACCGAGCATATCTCCTGAGGCGCACATCAATCAGATAACTGCTGCAGCATACGGGCGCCTGGCAAACCTACGGATAGCGTTCCGATACCTCAGTAAGGATTCGTTTAAGACTCTGTATACCATCTACGTCAGGCCCATACTGGAGTATGCAGCACAAGTTTGGAATCCACACCTAGTCAAGCACGTCAAGAAATTAGAGAAAGTGCAAAGGTTTGCAACAAGACTAGTCCCAGAGCTACGGGGATTGTCCTATGAAGAAAGGTTGAGGGAAATCGGCCTGACGACACTGGAGGACAGGAGGGTCAGGGGAGACATGATAACGACATATAAAATACTGCGCGGAACAGACGAGGTGGACAAAGACGGGATGTTCCAGAGAAGGGACACAGACACAAGAGGTCACAATTGGAAGTTGAAGACTCAGATGAATCAAAGGGATGTTAGGAAGTATTTCTTCAGTCATAGAGTAGTCAAGCCGTGGAATAGTCTAGAAAGTGAAGTAGTGGAGGCGGGAACCATACATAGTTTTAAGGCGAGGTATGATAAAGCTCATGGAGCAGGGAGAGAGAGGACCTAGTAGCAATCAGTGAAGAGGCGGGGCCAGGAGCTGCAACCACAAAGAGGTGAGTACACACACACTGTATCAATCGCATCTGCTAGAAAAATGACAGGATGGATAAAGAGAACCTTCAAAACCAGAGATGCCAAGCTCATGATGACACTCTTCAGGTAACTTGATCTATCTAGGCTGGAATATTCCTGCACACTAACAGCACCTTTCAAGGCAGGTGAAATTGCTGACCTAGAAAATGTACAGAGAACCTTCACGGCGCGCATAACCGTGATAAAACGCCTCAATTACTGGCAACGCTTAAAGTTCTTCAATCTGTACTCCAAAGAACGCAGTCGGGAGAGATATATGATAATATACACTTGGAAAATCCTAGAGGGATTAGTACCAAACTTCCACACGAAAATAACTCCCTATGAAAGCAAAAGACTCGGCAGGCGATGCAACATTAAAGCAATAAAAGCAGGGGTGCCACTAGCATGTTAAGAGACAACACAATAAGTGTAACGGGCTCAAAACTGTTCAACTGCCTCCCAGCATACATAAGGGGGATTACCAATAGACCCCTGGCTGTGGGTCGTACGTCGGGTTGCGTGCGGCCAGCAGTAACAGTCTGGTTGATCAGGCCTTGATCCACCATCTGGCCTGGTCAGACCGGGCCGCGGGAGCGTTGACCCCCGAAACCCTCTCCAGGTATATATTGATTGTTATCATCAAAATTGTCAAATGAATATATTTTTTTATATAAAAATTTCTTAAAA